TCCCAGTGTCTGTTGGAAAGCAGACTGAACCAGTTTTAACTCTAGGATTTTTCCTATTCTGTTTCTTTTTATCCTAAAAAACTCCCTAGTCCTTGCCGATGACAAGCATACCGATAACATGATGCAGCCACCACCATGCTTGAAAATATGAAGAGTGGTACTCAGTGATGTGTTGTGTTCGATTTGCCCCAAACATAACACTTTGCTTTCAGGACATAAAGTTAATTTCTTTGGCAATTTTTTTTGTTTTGTAATATTTTTTATTCTGTACAGGCTTCCTTCTTTTCACTCAGTCATTTAGGTTAGTATTATGGAGTAACTACAATGTTGTTGATCATTCCTCAGTTTTCTCCTATCACAGCCCTTCAACTCTGTAACTGTTAACCACCACCATTGACCTCATGGTAAAATCCCAGAGTGGTTTCCATCCTCTCCGGAAACTGAGTTAGGAAGGACGCCTGTATCTTTGTAGTGACTGGGTGTATTGATACACCACCTAAAGTGTAATTAATAACTTCACTATGCTCAAAGGGATATTCAATGCCTCTTTTTTATGTGTTTTATACCCATCTACCAATAGGTGCCCTTCTTTGCGAGGCATTGGAAAACCTCCCTGGTCTGTGGTTGAATCTGTGTTTGAAATTCATTGTTTGACTAAGGTAATTGTATGTGTGGGGTACAGAGATGGGGTAGTCATTCACAAATCATGTTGAACTATTTTATTTTGCACAGAGTGAGTCCATGCAACTTATTATTTTTACTGCTGAACTTATTTAGACTTGACATAACAAAAGGGTTGAATACTTATTGACTGAAGAAGTTTCAGCTTTACATTTTTTATTAATTCGTAAAAATGTCTAAAAACATAATTCCACTTTGACATTATGAGGTATTGTGTGTAGGCCAGTGACAAAAAATCTCAATTTAATCCATTTTAAATTCAGGCTGTAACACAACATAGTGTGGAAAAAGTCAAGGGGTGTGAATACTTTCTGAAGGCACTGTATATAATGAAACTCAAAAAGCTTCCCTTGATTTATCCTAATGAAAAGACCTGTAAAAACCCCAGGTTTTTTTCCCAAAAGTTGTTTAAATATCCAAAAAGAAAAAACACATTGTACAGTCGTGGTCAAATGTTTTGAGAATGACAAAAATACTAATTTTCACAAAGTCTGCTGCCTCAGTTTTGATGATGGCAATTTGCATATACTCCAGAATGTCATGAAGAGTGATCAGATAAATTGCAATTAATTGCAAAGTCCCTCTTTGCCATGATAATGAACTTAATCCCAAAAAAACATTTCCACTGCATTTCAACCCTGCCACAAAAGGACCAGCTGACATCATGTCAGTGATTCTCTCATTAACACAGGTGAGAGTGTTGACGAGGACAAGGCTGGAGATCACTCTGTCATGCTGCTTGAGTTAGAATAACAGACTGGAAGCTTTAAAAGGAGGGTGGTGCTTGAAATCATTGTTCTTCCTCTGTTAACCATGGTTACCTGCAAGAAAACACATGCCGTCATCATTGCTTTGCACAAAAAGGGCTTCACAGGCAAGGATATTGCTGCTAGTAAGATTGCACCTAAATCAACCATTTATCGGATCATCAAGAACTTCAAGGAGAGAGGTTCAATTGTTGTGAAGAAGGCGTCAGGGTGCCCAAGAAAGTCCAGCAAACGCCAGGACCGTCTCCTAAATTTGATTCAGCTGCAGGATCGGGGCACCACCAGTACAGAGCTTGCTCAGGAATGGCAGCAGGCAGGTGTGAGTGCATCTGCACGCACAGTGAGGTGAAGACTTTTGGAGGATGGCCTGGTGTCAAGAAGGGCAGCAAAGAAGCCACTTCTCTCCAGGAAGAACATCAGGGACAGACTGATATTCTGCAAAAGGTACAGGGATTGGACTGCTGAGGACTGGGGTAAAGTAATTTTCTCTGATGAATCCCCTTTGCGATTGTTTGGGGCATTCGGAAAACACCTTGTCCGAAGAAGACAAGGTGAGCTCTACCATCAGTCCTGTGTCATTCCAACAGTAAATCATCCTGAGACCATTCATGTGTGGGGTTGCTTCTCAGCCAAGGGAGTGGGCTCCCTCACATTTTTTACTAAGAACACAGCCAAGAATAAAGAATGGTACCAACACATCCTCTGAGAGCAACTTCTCCCAACCATCCAAGAACAGTTTGAACCAATGCCTTTTCCAGCATGATGGAGCACCTTGCCATAAGGCAAAAGTGATAACTAAGTGGCTCGGGGAACAAAACATCGACATTTTGGGTCCATGGCCAGGAAACTCCCCAGACCTTAATCCCATTGAGAACTTGTGGTCGATCCTCAAGAGGCGGGTGGACAAACAAAAACCCACAAATTCTGACAAACTCCAAGCATTGATTTTGCAAGAATGGGCTGCCATCAGTCAGGATGTGGCCCAGAAGTTAATTGACAGCATGTCAGGGCGGATTGCAGAGGTCTTGAAAAAGAAGGGTCAACACTGCAAATATTGACTCTTTGCATAAATTTAATGTAATTGTCAATAAAAGCCTTTGACACTTATGGAATGCTTGTAATTATACTTCAGTATACCAAAGTAACATCTGACAAAAATATCTCACAACACTGAAGCAGCGAACTTTGTGAAGACCAATACTTGTGTCATTCTCAAAACTTTTGACCACGACTGTATACACTGTTCACCCTCTGTATACAATAAATTGGCTATGTGATATAGGCTATTTTGCACAATAAAGAAATAAAGAAATGGATTATTTTAATATTTATTTATTTATGTATCGATACTTTATTACATATAACTGTTTAAAACCCAATCGGGATACTTTTTCTATTGGAGTTCTGTTGTTTGGAGTGGGTATTTAGCGTTTTGCCACAAAACATGGTTATTTGTCTCTCTAAAATAAAATTACCCTGCAATATATTTCAAACAAAATCACGTCAGTCTTTTCACTAGACCCTGTCATGGTAAGATGAAAAAATAATAGCTCTATCTCTTCCACAAGATGTTTTTTTAATTCATGTCAATTTACAAACATTTCTGACAATTGATATACAGTATCACGTTTTGGAATGAAACTTCATATTCAACAAAACAGACATGCTTTATTCAAACCTATTTCTTTTGATTTTATTCAAATACATTTTACACCGCAACTTTCTCACAGTTTAGTTTTTTTTTCATTTTCTACAGTGTAAGAGGTCATGCAGCTGCTGCTGGGTTCATGTTACTCATAGTGACAAGATCAATAAACAAAGATCAGGTATCATGGGACAATTTCAAAACGAAAGAGCTATAAAACTAACAAAATCTGTACAAACGAAAAAACTAACACTCATTAACTACATATAAGATCAAAGCAATACACAAATCCAACTTTAATATTAGGCATTTTATATGATATATTATAATTAATATCTTTACATCTTTTTTAAAGTACCGGAATGGTTGACAATGAACAACATCTCCAGAATCATTCAAATGCCCCATACATTTCTAGAAAAACTAAGACAAAGTATGATAGGAATTATTATTTTTAAATCAAAATAATGAGATGTTAAACGCATACAAACATGTCATTACACTGTACATGGATAGAAACCCTTTTCCACCTGCACATGAATAGCAGAACCCTCCATTTTCAAATAATGGTCTGAGACTGCGAGGGGTCATACAGTACGACATGCCATTTAGACGGTAAACAGTACAGCCACGTACAGTACAACAGTGTAAAATGGTGTACAAATCTCATCATGGAGATTAACATACAACACAGGTTTTCATTAAACTGTGGTAGTATAAAACAACTTTACCCATAATGCATTTGGGAAACTGAAGCCTAGTCGTGCATCAACTATAAATCTCATTGCTGGCCTGTGAGCTTAAAACAATACTCCATATTGTACTAAACAAGTATCTGACGTATCAACATACAGTATAGATCCATGCTTTTGCAACACAATAAAATAGGAGGAATGAAACCGAGAAATAAAAAAACATCTGTTTATTTCCATATTATTCCCGCACTGGCTCTGTTGCCTGACTGTGGTAATATTATGGTTGTTGATTGTCTGGCAAGCCTTAAGCAACATCCTTCAATCCACAAGAGAAAATTAAGGTTTATCAAGCACACACACACGGACACACTTGTACGGATCCATGCACACATGCACACACAGTCGCAGAGTTGCACACCTACATGCCCATGTATTTCTGGCAAATCGTAAGAGGGACACAATCCATTGATTGATTTCTCTGAAAACCAAAGCCTATATAAAATTCTCTCAGGTCTAGTTGGTAAATCTAGACAGAAGTAAACCAACACATATTGGCTCTGACAAGATACAGTTTGGATTGCACTTTTGCAGTAATAAACAGACATGATAGAAAACACATCATATACGTTTACGCTGTTGGCTAGGATTAATGATCTTTGACGTTGAAGGAAATAAAAATGCTGTACAATACATATACAGCAGTATGAGACGTGTTTGATACAGTACCTTATAGTATATGAAAATAATGAATACTTTTTGGGAATTCAATGAACACCATTCATCAGGAGAAGAACAGAAGAGAAGGAGAGAACATGTTGATTGGAGAAATAAAATGGTAAAGCTACAGGAATTGCTACATTTTAGTTGGAATAGGCAGTGTCATCATAATGTTTGATTGGAAATAGGGTCATACTGTATAGATCAAGGTTGGGGTCAATTTGAATTTAAGTAAATTCTTGAAGTGATTTGAATTTAAAATAAAATAATGGAAAACAACTTTTTGTTTTGTTTATTAAGGTCTTGAAAATATATGCCTTTTTTCAATTATTTAATTGCAATCTGAGTTTACTTCCAGAATTGACTGAATTGGAATGTAACTGACTCCAACCCTGTTATACATAGATATCATCATCAGGATCTGTGTTGTCCTCTGGCGACCATGACAGTGAGCAGCAACCACATCCAACTGTGTGTCATGTGACACATTCATTGTCATGTGACCTCGGCGAAAGTAAGAGGATTCTAAAGGAAAAAAGAAGAAACAGAACAGAAATGTGTCTTCAATTAATATGAAGTAAACTGATTAAGTCAGATTAGACATTACTTGGTAACATGATATTTGCGATCTTGATATAAAAAACACAAAATAGCACAGTCAAGATACAGTATCGGTCCTGTGACATCTTGGTCCCCAACATCTCTACCTTTCCCTATTTCAATTATATAACGACCCTTACATAACCTCAAGTTAAGTCAGTTGCTTTGATTGCGCTGATGGGGCTTGTTAGGCTGTCTGTCTACACACACACACACACACATACACACACACACACACACACATACACACACACACACATACAGAGTGGGCCAAGTAGCATGAGGCTAGCACACTGTACAGCTCCTGGGTTGCCTCTATAAGCATAATACAATAGCATTGCTCCTGAAGATTAATGATGTAGCCTTAACAGACCCTATAGCGAGGGGAATGCTAGGCCATGCATTACAGGGACATACAGTCTCCGGCCCCCTTGGTAATCTTGTTGAAGTGCCTTATGGAGACCCGGTGCTCCCCCTATTTGAATTCACAATGAGTCCAGGGGAAGTTATATTGGGCCATTTGTCAACGCAAAGGAGGATGACCTCCTCTCGTTAGACTGAGGTGTGTGAGGGGAATAAGGATGAGGAGATGTGGAGAGGTGAGTTTGTGTGTGCGTGCATGAGTGGTAGATGAGCAAAGCACTAATGGCAAGAATGGTCAAATTTGTATTAGTTGAGGTTTGAGGGACTAGATGTACTTTAGAAATCCAAATACACCCAATGGAAACCTAAACTGCAGTATGGATCCACTTATTGTACAGTTTAGAGTAGCAGCAGGGAGGCTGTAGCTAAATGAATTTCCACACTAAATGCATTGCTACACACAACATCACCATGGCCAAAGGCCATCTGCAAACTGAGTACAGAAGGTGACCCAAATAAATCTGACACATTAGGATGCTTTAGAAAACCCTTTGGATCCTGGCTCACTGCTCCCTTTGACTGCCTGGCTGCCTGCTTCAGTATTAATATATTTTAAGGGAGGTAAATTAAACACGCACACACCATCCCATAAGTAAGCCAGTAGTTAGTAGTGAAGGATATCATACCTTGCTAAGTAAGAAAGAATGTCATATAATATTGTTTTAAAAAGGCAAAATTATTATTTTAAAAGGCATAATAGCATTTTCCCAAGTATTCACCCCCCTTGGCATTTTTCCTATTTGTTGCCTTACAACCTGGAATTAAAATGGATTTTTGAGGGGTTTGTATCATTTGATTTACACAACATGTCTACCACTTTGAAGATGCAAAATATTTTTTCTTGTGAAACAAACAACAAATAAGACAAAAAAACAGAAAACTTTGGCATGCATAACTATTCCCCCCCCCCCCCAAAGTCACCTTTTGCAGCAATTACAGCTGCAAGTCTCTTGGGGTATGTCTCCATAAGCTTGGCACATCTAGCCACTGGGATTTTTGCCCATTCTTCAAGGCAAAACTGCTCTAGCTCCTTCAAGTTGGATGGGTTCCGCTGGTGAACAGCACTCTTTAAGTCATACCACAGATTCTCAATTGGATTGAGGTCTGAGCTTTGACTAGGCCATTCCAAGACATTTAAATGTTTCCCTTAAACCACTCAAGTGTTGCTTTAGCAGTATGCTTAGGGTCATTGTCCTGCTGGAAGGTGAACCTCCGTCCCAGTCTCAAATCTCTAGAAGACTGAAACAGGTTTCCCTCAAGAATTTCCCTGTATTTAGCGCCATCCATCATTCCTTCAATTCTGACCAGTTTCCCAGTCCCTGCCGATGAAAAACATCCCCACAGCATGATGCTGCCACCACCATGCTTCACTGTGGGGATGGTGTTCTCGGGGTGATGAGAGGTGTTGGGTTTGCGCCAGACATTTTCCTTGATGGCCAAAAAGCTCAATTTTAGTCTCATCTGACCAGAGTACCTTCTTCCATATGTTTGGGGTGTCTCCCACATGCCTTTTGGTGAACACCAAACGTGTTTGCTTATTTTTTTCTTTAAGCAATGGCTTTTTTCTGGCCACTCTTCCGTAAAGCCCAGCTGTGTGGAGTGTACGGCTTAATGGACAGATACTCCAATCTCCGCTGTGGAGCTTTGCAGCTCCTTCAGGGATATCTTTGGTCTCTTTGTTGCCTCTGATTAATGCCCTCCTTGCCTGGTCCGTGAGTTTTGGTGGACGACACTCCCTTGGCAGGTTTGTTGTGGTGCCATATTCGTTAAATTTTTTAATAATGAATTTAAATGGTGCTCCGTGGGATGTTTAAAGTTTCTGATATTTTTTTATAACCCAACCCCTGATCTGTACTTCTCCACAACTTTGTCCCTGACCTGTTTGGAGAGCTCCTTGGTCTTCATGGTGCCGCTTTGCTTGATGGTGCACCTTGCTTAGTGGTATTGCAGACTCTGGGGCCTTTCAGAACAGGTGTATATATACTGAGATCATCTGACAGATCATGTGACACTTAGATTGCACACAGGTGGACTTTATTTAACTAATTATGTGACTTCTAAAGGTAATTGGTTGCACCAGATCTTATTTAGGGGCTTCATAGCAAAGGGGGTGAATACATATGCACGCACCAGTTTTCCGTTATTTATTTGTTTTAATTTTTTGAAACAAGTTATTTTTTTTCATTTCACTTCACCAATTTGGACTATTTTGTGTATGTCCATTACATGAAATCCAAATAAAAATCAATTTAAATTATAGATTGTAATGCAACGAAATAGGAAAAATGCCAAGGAGGATGAATACTTTTGCAAGGCACTGTAGGATACATGAATTCATCTGAAAACAATAACTAAAGTGAAGTAAAGTTATTATAAAAATGAATAATTTATGTTGTGAAACACGTAACCACATCCATTTACAAACACTGTGTATTTCCAGTAGCTTGTCAGTTTTCAGAGTGTCAGGTCAGTAGTTCTGTTCTTCTCTCCTGACAGTTATAGGGTAACTGTTTCTCCCAATGTTCTGAACAGTGTTTTAATCAGTACACAGCAAATGGGCTACTTAGCCCAATTTAACACACATGATGTTTATACCTGCACAGCTTTGCTATCAAGATTATTTGTATAGACAGGTAACGAGGCATGCAGGTTTTCATTCTTACATTATCAGTTTACACAGTGTGCGATTTAGCCCAACGTAACAATATGTGTGTCCTCTAGCTAATCACCTGTATACAGATGATTAGCAGACAGACACTCTTCCTCAGGGACTGGGATTGTGTACCTCTTGCCAGAGGCATTGTAAGAGCTTATAGTAATTTTACCTGGACCATAAAACGAAGAAGATGAGACTCTCAACCCAAAGTGATACATACTTTGTATTCCAAACACCAATGTATATTTTTGTCAATGTTCATATATTTTGGTCAATTTTCAACCTTCACACTACACAACTGGAAGTAATGTTAATATTTATGTACAGGAAATGGAGGATATACTGTATATGATGTGTCTTTCTGTATGGTGACCACAGCAGAATGGACTGAGGCTGACAAACAAGGTACTCTAGGAAACGGTCCCTAGTAAAGCACAGTATATTGTATCACTGCAATGAAGTGTGGTTGACAATACCTGTGAGGCTATGTACTTCTCCATGGTGTTGTCCATGATGCGGGGCTGGCCCATCATAGGAACACTGCTGGCCACGCTCTCCTCCGGCGGGATCTCGTTCAGCAGGGTCTTCCCTTTGAAGTTCTGCACCACCCCGAGAACCTGCACTCACAGCCACGGTCACGGGACAGACAAAGGAAAATAGATAGAGAAGGGGGGGAGAGAGAGAGAGAGAGAGAGAGAGATGGAGAGAGAAAGAGGGAGAGATAGAGGTGCGAGGAAGAGAGAGAGGGAACAAAAGAAAGAAAAGACAAAGAGATGAGGGAGAGAGAGAGAAGGAGGAGTGGGAGACTTAGTAAGTTAGTTAGTTAGTTAGGCTGAGATGGAGATAGAGGCTCTGTGGTGTTTTATCAGAGCAGAGTGCCTTTCACTTCTCATAACATGGGTTATGTAAGTATTTTTTCTATTATAAACAACAAGCTCCCTCACGACGCCAGGACAGCGGAGTCACTCACCACCTTCCGGAGACACTTGAAACCCCACCTCTTTAAGGAATACCTGGGATAGGATAAAAAATAATAATAAAAATAAAAAAATTTGTAAAGTGGTTATCCCACTGGCTATAAGGTGAATGCACCAATTTGTAAGTCGCTCTGGATAAGAGCGTCTGCTAAATGATGTAAATGTAAATGTAATAAAGGAATCGCACAGCTTGTTGCCCAAAAACATTAATTCAATCAGAGTTGTGCGTGTGTGTATGTGTCTCCTCAAGGAGTTTCATCCATTACCATCCATTTTTTGTGAGACGTCTATCTAAGGCAATGTTCAGACGGAGGAGAAAAGCGAGTCAGAGAAAAATTATAATCTAGAGCAGTGGTCACCAACCGGTCGATCGCGATCAACTGTTCAATCTCCAAGGCATTTATAGTCGTTTACCAAACATTGCTGGAAACCCCCCCCCCCCAAAAAAAGATTAATTCTTATAGTTTTTTCTTTGTTTAGCGCTGTTGGTGGTAGGTGCACTTGATTCAGCAGCCCGGCAGGCCCAGAGAGCAAATCAAGTGCACCTATAGGCCTACGGCTTGCCAATCAGATAGTTCAGATCACAGTGTCAGCACAGTTTCCTCGAGTCATAGACATAAAAAGAAGCCTTGAGCACACAGCAAAGTTGATACTGTGAGATTTCAAAACTTTTAAAACCATGACTAGAGAGAGAGACAATGAATACAGCAAATAGCTGCTGTTTTTATAAGTAAATTCCTGTTTAAGTTGTTATTCAGCATTGTCAACACTTTGTTCAACACTTTTATACGCCTTAAATGTGCATTCTCCCTACTTCCACTCACGCTACAACCAGCACAGCAGCTGCAATGAATGAGTATAGTAAAGCGTTTTGATAAGCTTGCGATGTTCTTTTTAGCGGCTTGTGTCTTTTTTAATATTGAGGAATATTTCACTTTCTCTGGTCATAGGAGTAACAACATGAATTGGTGCATAAGGCAGAAATAATGCAGTGTGACTTGCGTTTCGCCATCAGCTGGAAGACTAAGGGAGAGCGGAGGGACGGTGAGTCGGGTGAGAGGCAGCCTCACCGCTGCTCTCTCTCCCTCCCTCCCCTCAGACTTACCATCAGATGTAGGCCATCAGTCCAGTAAAATAAAAAAAAGCAAATTATTATGCTCACTCAGCTGTGCCTCACAAGTAATACAACATATTATCTAATACCAGTCTGATCCTATACCTTTTTCTGTATATATACTGAACGAAAATATAAACCCAATATGCAACAATTTCAAAGATTTTACTGAGTTACAGTTCATATAAGGAAAATCAGTCAACTGAAATAAATTCATTAGGCCCTAATCTATGGATTTCATATGACTGGGAAGGAGCACAGCCATGGGTGGGCCTGGGAGCCTTGTGAGGTCAGTTGAATGTATTGCCAAATTCTCTAAAACGACGTTGGAGGCGGCTTATGGTGGAGAACTGAACATTAAATTCTCTGGCAACAGCTCTGGTGGACATTCCTGCAGTCAGCATGCCAATTGCACGCTCCCTCAAACTTGAGACATCTGTGGCATTGTGTTGTGTGACAAAACTGAACGGTAGATCTCGCCTTGCAAGTGATCTTGGCTCAGAAAAGTTTGGTGACCACTGATCTAGAGGGTCTCTTCCATTACCATTACAGGCCAAAAGGCCCTGCAGTCATTTGTTGAATTACATTCCCAAAATAAATATATAAATACAGTTGAAGTCGGATGTTTACATACACTTAGGTTGAAGTCATTAACTTGTTTTTAAACCACTCCACAAATGTCTTGTTAACAAACTATAGTTTTGGCAAGTCGGATAGGACATCTACTTTGTGCATGACACAAGTAATATTTCCAACAATTGTTTACAGACAGATTATTTCACTTATAATTCACTGTATCACAATTCAAGTGGGTCAGAAGTTTACATACACTAAGTTGACTGTGCCATTAAACAGCTTGGAAAATTCCAGAAAATGATGTCATGGTTTTAGAAGCTTCTGATAGGCTAATTGACATCATTTAAGTCAATTGAAGGTGTATCAAATCAATCCCAGAACAACAGCAAAGGACCTTGTGAAGATGCTGGAGGAAACAGGTACAAAAGTATCTATATCCACAGTAAAACAAGTCCTATATCGACATAACCTGAAAGGCTGCTCTGCAACGAAGAAGCCACTGCTCCAAAACCGCCTTAAAAAAGCCAGACAACGGTTTGCAACTGCACATGGGGACAAAGATCGTACTTTTTGGAGAAATGTCCTCTGGTCTGATGAACCAAAAATAGAACTGTTTGGCCATAATGACCATCGTTGTGTTGTGGAGGAAAAGGGGGGAAATTGCAAGCCGAAGAACACCATCCCAAACGTGAAGCATGGGGGAGGCAGCATCATGCTGTGGAGGGACTGGTGCACTTCACAAAATAGATGGCATCATGAGGAAGGAAAATTATGTGGATATATTGAAGCAACATCTCAAGACATCAGTCAGGAAGTTAAAGCTTGGTCGCAAATGGGTCTTCCAAATGGACAATGACCCCAAAGCATACTTCCAAAGTTGTGGCAAAATGGCTTAAGGACAACAAAGTCAAGGTATTGGAGTGGCCATCACCAAGCCCTGACCTCAATCCTATAGAAAATGTGTGGGCAAAACTGAAAAAGCGTGTGCGAGCAAGGAGGCCTACAAACCTGACTCAGTTACACCATCTCTGTCAGGAGGAATGGGCCAAAACTCACCCAATTTATTGTGGGAAGCTTGTGGAAGGCTACCCGAAAAGTTTGACCCAAGTTAAACAATTTAAAGGCAATGCTACCAAATACTAATTGAGTGTATGTAAACTTCTGACCCACTGGGAATGTGATGAAAGTTAAACAATTTAAAGGCAATGCTACCAAATACTAATTGAGTGTATGTAAACTTCTGACCCACTGGGAATGTGATGAAAGAAATAAAAGCTGAAATAAATCATTCTCTCTACTATTATTCTGACATTTCACATTCTTAAAATAAAGTGGTGATCCTAACTGACCTAAAACAGGGAATTTTTACTAGGATTAAATGTCAGGAATTGTGGAAAAACTGAGTTTAAATGTATTTGGCTAAGGTGTATGTAAACTTCTGACTTCAACTGTGCGTATATGTGGTACTTCTTTTCAGTATATGTATCAGTATACTTCCATTATCTCAGCAGGTTGCTGTAGCACTCATCATAGAAACCTGCCTCAGCTTCAGATATGGTATGTTATGAAACTGCAATGTGGTAATAATCGTTTGTGCGCAATTTGTCATGTTACGCCACGGCACTAAATTATATACACATGCATGACTGAACACAGCATGTGAGAGTGAATAACACAAGCATACATTGACAGAAGTAGGGGACATCTAAAAGACAGATGTGCCTTAACGTGAGATACATACATGTTGTGACTGCATCCAGAAAATAACATTCTGTAGTTATAGGTTCATTCACTCTATAACAACACTTTAGGGAAAAAACATGCAGACACACACAACACATAGACATGCATGCAAGTAAACACGCACACACATACCTTTACCCCATGGCCCAGGCACCCTGTGGTTTTCACACACACACACGCTCATACACTCTCACACACACACTTCCACACACACACACACACACACACACCTATACCCCATGGCCCAGGCACCCTGCTGTTTCTGTTAGGCACTGTGCTTTCTTGCTGATGATGCGTGATGTGTGCCTGCTCGCCTGTGATACAGTGGTTTGATCTCAGATATCTCATGCTGGGTCCTTTCCCACCTATCCCCTTTCCCTATTCAGTCTCGTTAACTAGGTCATACTAGGTGTGTGTCCCAAATAGCTCCCTATTCCCTACATAGTGCACTACTTTTGACCAGGGCCATGTAAAAAAATACATTGGGAATAGGGTGCCATTTCGGACGCACTTTAGCACACCTCTCTTCTACCCAGGGACTCACTAAAACTCTCCACCTATCCTGTCAGAAATGGATGATCTTTGAAGATACGTTTGTGCTAGTAGTAATTTAGAGTTGTTGAGGATAAACATGTCATGAGCAGCAACCTAGCACTAATGTATCCACACCAATGTATGCACAACCAATTAAGCAAGATTTATCCACAGACTAGTGCTTTGAAGTCAGAGAAACTCAAGCAAATCTAACGGTGTTCATACTCACTCTAGCAAGAGACACACCAACTAATAAGTGTATTGCAGAGATATCAAAGGAGCCCACTCATATAGGAGCTAACTCACTTGCCCTGTCTAAACACAACAGATCCACATGGCCCCACTGCGTTCATCTGAGCCAATTATCCAGCCATACTAGGCGGAAAACCCAGTGTTTTCCATAAGTGCCGGCCGTCGACTAAATAGCCGATAACAGAGTCATTATAAGCCGGCTACTTTTTCCACTTCATAAATTAACTAGGATTCTTTCCATTTAAAAGTTTTAATTTGCTATCAGTATAGCCTTCTCCCGCTAGAATGAATGATATGCATCTTCTAGTGTGTGTGTGCCTCTCCGCGTTGTTCCATGAGGTGCAGTTTTATCAGTTTTTTAAAATCTGATTTTACTGCTTGCTTGAGTTACTTGATGTGGAATAGAGTTCCATGTAGTCATGGCTCTATGTTGCACTGTGTGTTTCCCAGAGTCCGTTCTGGACTTGGGGGCTGTGAAGAGACCCCTGGTGGCATGTCTTGTTGGGTATGCATGGGTGTCGGAGCTGTGTGCTAGCCATTTGAACAGACAGCTCGGTGCATTCAACAAGTCAGTATCTCTCACAAAGACAAGCAGTGATGCAGTCAATCGCTACTCTATTTTGAGCCAGGAGAGATTGACATGCATGTTATTGATGTTAGCTCTCCGTGCACATTACTCATTACAAGATTTTGTTGAGGTTTAGGGTTTAGTTAATGATTTGTCCCAAATACAATGGTTTTAGTTTTAGAAATATTTAGGGCTAGCTTATTACTTGCCACCCATTCTAAAACTGACTGCAGCTCTTTGTTAAGTGTTGCAGTGATTTCACTTGCTGTGGTAGCAGACGTGTATAATGTTGAGTCATCAGCATGCATAGACACACAGGATTTACTCAGTGCCAGTGGCAGGTCATTAGTAAAAAAAAAAGTAAAAGTACGAGGCCTAGACAGCTGCCCTGGGGTATGCCCGACTCTACCTGGATTATGTTGAAGAGGCTTCCGTTAAAAAACACCCTCTATGTTCGGTTAGACAGGTAAATCTTGATCCATGATACACAGTTGAAGTTGCAAGTTTACATACACTTAGGTTGGAGTCATTAAAACTCATTTTTCAACAACTCCACAAATTTGTGGTTAACAAACTATAGTTTGGCAAGTCGGTTAGGAAAACTAATTTGTGCATGACACAAGATATCTTTTCAACAATTGTTTACAGACAGATTATTTCACTTTTAATTCACTGTTAATTCACAGTTTACACTAAGTTGACTGTGCCTTTAAACAGCTTGGAAAATTCCAGAAAATGATGTCATGGCTTTAGAAGCTTCTGATAGGCTGGGCAGAACTGAAAAAGCTTGTGCGAGCAAGGAGGCCTACAAACCTGACTCAGTTACACCAGCTCTGTCAGGAGGAATGGGCCAAAATTCACCCAACTTATTGTGGGAAGCTTGTGGAAGGCTACCCGAAACGTTTGACCCAAGTTAAACAATTTAAAGGCAATGCTACCAAATACTAATTGAGTGTATGTAAACTTCTGACCCACTGAGAATGTGATGAAAGAAATAAAAGCTGAAATAAATCATTCTCTCTACTATTATTCTGACATTTCACATTCTTAATATAAAGTGGTGATCCTAACTGACCTAAGACAGGGAATCTTTACTAGGATTAAATGTCAGGAATTGTGAAAAACTGAGTTTAAATGTATTTGGCTAAGGTGTATGTAAACTTCTGACTTCAACTGTAAACGTAAAGCCATAACATATATGTTTTTTCAGCAAAGTCTAACAAAACAGCTCCCGCAATCTTTTCATGAGCAATTTCTTGATTGAACACCATTGAACATAATTTATTGATTGAACACTGACCTTCAACACCATAGTGCCCTTCAAGCTCATTACTAAGCTCGGGACCCTGGGTCTGAACCCCGCCCTGTGCAACTGGGTCCATGACTTCCTGACAGGCCGACCCCAGGTGGTGAAGGTAGGCAACAACACTTCCGCCAAGCTGATCCTCAACACAGGGCCACACAAGGGTGCATGCTCAGCCCCCTCCTGTACTCCCTGTTCAAGATCATCACTAAGCTCGGAGCCCTGGGTCTGAACCCCGCCCTGTGCAACTGGGTCCTGGACTTCCTGACAGGCCGACCCCAGGTGGTGAAGGTAGGCAACAACATCTCCGCCACGCTGATCCTCAACATGGGGGCCCCAGAAAGGTGCGTGCTCAGCCCCCTCCTGTACTCCCTGTTCACCCATGACTGCGTGGCCATGCTCGTCTCCAACTCAATCATCAAGTTTGCTGACAACACAACAGTGGTAGGCCTGATCAACAACATGCTTCAAACATGTTTCAATTTTCATTAGTCGTATGTACAGGATACACATGGTATACACTGTCCAACGAAATGCTTACTTGCAGGTTCCTTCTCGACAATGCAACAACAATAGGAAGTAAGAAAATACAAATATGAACATAAAGTAAATGGCTGAGTAGAATAGAAAATACATTTTAGTATAAGTATAATACAGGAAGGCACAATTTATAGTACAATATTTACACATGTATCACTGGAGGGGGGATTGGGGGGCAAGTGTTTAAATTGTGCAGTATGAGCAATAGTAAATAAGAGTCTGGTAGCAGCAGTTGTAATGTGTGTGCAGCATGAATGTATATACTGTATGTGTGTGTGCACCACACAGCTGGATTTGCCTTTGTAGTCCGTGATAGCATCGCCTAATGGATTTGCGGAGCTCGTACCTGCTTGCCTTGTACGCATTGCACGACACCGAGTCGTCGGGGTTCGTTCTGCTGACATTGAATGCTGCACTACAGGCTCTCAGCAAGGTATGGATTTCTACGTTCATCCAGGTTTTTTGGTTGGGGTATGGCCAGATTGCTATTGTGGGTACAACATCATCAACACATTTCCTAATGAAGCCTGTGACTGACGATGCATATTCCTCAATATTGATGGATGAGTCCTGGGTGGAGGAATCTTTGAGCATATTCCAATCCGTATTTTCAAAACAGTCCTGCAGCATCGAGTCTGCCTCCTTTGTCCAGCGCCTCACTATTCTCTGTGTTGATGGCTCCCTCTTGAGTTGCTGCTTGTAGGTGGCGAGTTGGAACAGAGAGATGTGATCTGATTGGCCGAAGTGGGGGCAGGGATGGCTTTGTACGCGTCAAGGCTGTTTGCGTACACATGGTCCAGCACGTTGTTTCCTACCGTGGGGCAGTATAAATGTTGGTGATACTTTGGAATAATTTGTATAAAATTAGCTTGGTTAAAATCTCCCACGGCAATAAAGGCTGCTTCCGGGTGAGACGATTCTTGCAGGCTAATGTTCTTATACAGTTCACTAAGTGCCGCCTTGATGTTTGCTTGTAGCGGTATGTACACAGCTGTGATAATAACACACGTGAATACCCTTTGCATATAGTGGGGTCGGCATTTTAGCATCAGAAACTCCAGGTCGGGTGAACAGGAGCTCGAGATGTTTTCAACTTCGGTACACCAGGAATTGTTGATGAGGCTCACATCAACAGCATAATCCCAGAAACCCTAGACCCACTCCAATTTGCATACCGCCCCAACAGATCCACAGATGATGCAATCTCTATCGCACTCCACACTGCCCTTTCCCACCTGGACAAGAGGAACACCTACGTGAGAATGCTATTCATTGACTACAGCTCAGCATTCAACACCATAGTGCCCTCAAAGCTCATCACTAAGCTAAGGATCCTGGGACTAAACACCTCCCTCTGCAACTGGATCCTGGACTTCCTGACGGGCCGCCCCCAGGTGGTAAGGGTAGGTAACAACACATCTGCCACACTGATCCTCAACACGGGGGCCCCTCAGGGGTGCGTGCTCAGTCCCCTCCTGTACTCTCTGTTCACCTATGACTGCATGGCCAGGCACGACTCCAACACCATCATTAAGTTTGCCGACGACACAACAGTGGTAGGCCTGATCACCGACAACGATGAGACAGCCTATAGGGAGGAGGTCAGAGATCTGGCCGTGTGGTGCCAGGACAACAACCTCTCCCTCAACGTGACCAAGACAAAGGAGATGATTGTGGACTACAGGAAAAAAAAGAGGACTGAGCACGCCCCCATTCTCATCGACGGGGCTGTAGTGGAACAGGTTGAGAGCTTCAAGTTCCTTGGTGTCCACATCACCAACGAACTATCATGGTCCAAACACACCAAGACAGTCGTGAAGAGGGCACGACAAAGCCTATTCCCCCTCAGGAGACTAAAAAGATTTGGCATGGGTCCTCAGATCCTCAAAAAATTCTACAGCTGCACCATCGAGAGCATCCTGACTGGTTGCATCACCGCCTGGTATGGCAACTGCTTGGCCTCTGACCGCAAGGCACTACAGAGGGTAGTGCGTACGGCCCAGTACATCACTGGGGCAAAGCTCCCTGCCATCCAGGACCTCTATACCAGGCGGTGTCAGAGGAAGGCCCTCAAAATTGTCAAAGACTCCAGTCACCCTAGTCATAGACTGTTCTCTCTGCTACCGCACGGCAAGCGGTACCGGAGTGCCAAGTCTAGGTCCAAAAGACTTCTCAACAGCTTCTACCCCCAAGCCATAAGACTCCTGAACAGCTAATCATGGCTACCCGGACTATTTGCACTGCCCCCCCCACCCCATCCTTTTTACGCTGCTGCTACTCTGTTAAGTATTTATGCATAGTCACTTTAACTCTACCCACATGTACATATTACCTCAACTAGCCGGTGCCCCCGCACATTGACTATGCAACGGTACCCCCCTGTATATATAGCCTCCCTACTGTCACTTTATTCTATTGTATATATAGCCTCCCTACTGTCACTTTATTTTTTACTTCTGCTCTTTTTTTTCTCAACACTTTTTTGTTGTTGTTTTATTCTTACTTTTTTTGTTTAAAATAAATGCACTGTTGGTTAAGGGCTGTAAGTAAGCATTTCACTGTAATGTCTGCACCTGTTGTATTCGGCGCATGTGACCAATAAAATTTGATTTGATTTGATTTGATACTCTTACCAGAAGCCACCATACGATCCACACGGAAAATGGAAAAGCACAGTCGAGTGAATTGTCTGTAAGCCATGTCTGTAAAAACAAAGATACAGCATTCCCTGATGTCCCTATGTGATTGAAGCCTTACTCGAGTTCACAAAGATTATTTTCCAGCGTTTGGACATTAGCCATCAGGATACTAGGAATCATACCACAGGAGGTTGGTGGCACCTTAATTGGGGAGGACGGGCTCGCGGTAATGGCTGGAGCGTTTTGAATGGAATGGTGTCAAATACATCAAACACATGGTTTGATGCCATTCCATTCACTCCGTTCCAGCCATTATTATGCGCCGTCCGCCCCTCAGCAGCCTCCACTGAATCATACCTGTAGGTCTATTCATGGGTGCCTGACTTTATATAAAAGTGTGGGTGCACAATCTGGAGAGGGGTCTGAGGGTCCTCCCCCTGAAAATGTTAGCATTTTTAAAACCTAAGAAAACATGTTGTGTTCTTTCAAGTAAGCATGGATTCCCTGTTGAGAAATAATATAGAATTACAGCAAAATGATGGCTCCCTCTCTATATTGTTTCTCAACAGGGAATCCATGTTTATTTGAAAGAACACAACATTATTTCTTAGGTTTTTGCCACAATAAATTAAATTGAAAGAGTAGACTAGAGTAGTTTTTCTGACTAGATTACTAATCTACTGCCTTCCCCTCAGTCCCACCTACAGTGGGACAGGTCTGAAACCCTAACAACTCTGTGACTCAAAAACATCCTGCCCCCTCCTCTGACAATCCCATCCACAGTGATTGACTGAAAGGCTAAACTGTTAAAGGGATAGTTCACCCAAATTACAAAATTATGTTGGTTTCCTTACCGTAAGTGTCCACAGCAGCAGAGCCAATAAAATACATACAGTGCATTCGGAAAGTACTCAGACCCCTTGACTTTTTCCACATTTTGTTACGTTACAGCCTTGTTCTAATCTACATACAATACCCCATAATGACAAAGCAAAAACTGTTTTATTATATATTTTTGTACATTTATTAAAAATAAAAAACAGAAATACCTTATTTACATAAGTATTGCTATGAGACTCGAAATTGAGCTCAGGTGCATCCTGTTTCCATTGATCATCCTTGAGTTACAGCCTTATTCTAATATGGATGAAATTAAAAACAAATTCTCATTAATCTACACACAATACCCCATAATGACAAAGCGAAAACAGGTCTTTCGAAATTCTTGCATATAAAACAAAAACAACAACATAAATACCTTATTCACATAAGTATTCAGACCCTTTGCTATGAGACTCGAAATTGAGCTCAGGTGCATCCTGTTTCCATTGATCATACTTGAAATGTTTCTACAACTTGATTGGAGTCCACCTGTGGTAATTTCAATTGATTGGACATGATTTGGAAAGGCACACACCTGTCTATATAAGGTCCCACAGTTGACAGTGCATGTCAGAGCAAAAAACTCTGGAGAGACCTGACAATAGCTGTGAAGCGACGCTCCCCATCCAACCTGGCAGAGCTTGAGAGGATCTGCAGAGAAGAATGGGAGAAACTCCCCAAATACAGGTGTGCCAAGCTTGTTGCGTCATACCCAAGAAGACTCGAGGCTGTAATCGCTGCTAAAGGTGCTTCAAAAAAGTACTGAGTAAAGGGTATGAATATTTATGTAAATGCAATATTTCCGTTTTTTATTTTTCATAGATTACTAAAAACCAGTTTTTGCTTTGTCATTATGGGGTATTGTGTGTAGATTGATGAGGGGAAAAAACAATATAATCCATTTAAGAATAAGGCTGTAACGTAACAAAATGTGGAAAAAGTCAAGGGGTCTGCATACTGTCCGAATGCACTGTAATTTGACGAACAAACATCATTGTGGCAATTAATATATTGCAGTAAAACTGTAAATATGACTTTAATCTCAAGAGAACACAGGTTTAATGTTAAAAAAGGTTAGTTTACTTTAAAATAGTATATCCAAATCAACTAACACACTGAATTCATACATTTTCAGTCATTTTAATTGTAAAGCAATGTCTTTTTACTCAATACCACAACTCATTTTATCAATCTGTTAGGTAAAATTGTTAAAGTATTCAATAATTTAGCTGTGTATTTCAAGGCATTCGAATGTACCAGAGGCCACCAAAATAGAGCTTGTCCTGCAATTTTTTCCCTGGCTGGCTACTTTTGTTATTTGGCTGGCTACTCTATGTACTTACAGAAAACAGAACTGAGCCATGACCAGTGATTTTCCAGATTTTCCACCCAGATCTACAGTAGATAGTTAAACAAGGATCAAGGTAATATATCCAGGATCAGCATAATCTATGACAGTCTTAATATTAATAATTGGGAGGAAATGGTAAAACAGGCCTTAGATCAGTGCTTAGGGGCAACTTCATCCTACATCTTGTGGCTATCCCTGGCCCTTATTTTCTAAAAGATGGTGAGAGAGAAGGGACACAGGCAAACACAGGGTCGTATTCAATACCCAGAAAACAGGGGACGTCCTAAGGACATTCGGCGAAGTTGCCATTAGGTCCCTTTAAGGGTTTTGGCGAGACGTTATCCCACTCACATTCTGGGAACGTTCCAGGAATATTAAAACGTTAACTTCGGGACCATAAGAGAATGTTCAGTACAGGTCCTGGTTTGGTCACGTATAACATTATAATAAGGTATTTTGATGTCCATTACATGCTGACCACACCGCCCGCGTTACATGTGTGAGCGTTGCGAAATAAATGTACACATACACTACCGTTCAAAAGTTTGGGGGTCACTTAGAAATGTCCTTGTTTTCGAAAGAAAAGCACTTTTTATTGGCCAGTCTGAGATATGGCTTTTTCTTTGCAACTCTGCCTAGAAGGTCAGCATCCCGGAGTCACCTGTTCCTTATTAGTGTTCATTATGCGTCCTATTTAGTTCTTTTGAGTTTGGTCAGGTGTTGTGTGTAATTGTTTTTTGTCACGTTGTTGTGCTAGTCCGTTTTTCAGTTCTCTCTGTGTTTGTGTTTTGAGAGAGAGTTCCGCACTTTGTGCGCCTTGTGTTTACTTTACCGTGTTGCGTAAAGTTAGCCTGTTGCCTGTTGCCGTGTGTGGCTTGTTATTTGGACTTCACTAAAGACGTCTGTTCGAAACCTCTGTGTGTCCTGCGCCTGATTCCACACTACCTCTACACTCAACCCTGACGCGCCTCTTCACTGTTGACGTTGAGACTGGAGTTTTGCGGGTACTATTTAATGAAGCTGCCAGTTGAGGACCTGTGAAGCGTCTGTTTCTCAAACTAGACACTCTAATGTATTTGTCCTCTTGCTCAGTTGTGCACCGGGGCCTCCCACTCCTCTTTCTACACTGTATTTCTGATCAATTTGATGTTATTTTAATGGACAAAAAAATTGATTTTCTTTCGAAAACAAGGACATTTCTAAGTGACCCCAAACTTTTGAACAGTAGTGTACATGTTATTCCATCATTGCATCCACACTGCTTGTGCGCGTCAACGACCATCTGCGTAGCCAGGCGCTAAAATAGAACTTGGTTCTATTTGTGACTCTTGACACGCTGCAAGTTCCGCCTCTCCCATCTCCTCACTGGTTTTTAGGAGTATATACCTGCGTGGGTGATTGAAAGATGAACTGAGGTCCACACTCCAGTCCAGTTGGTGGTTATGCACCTTAAAGTTTGTTGCCAACCGCCATATAAAGTCTAAAGAAGAAGAAGAAGCCTGAAGGAGGAGAGATTACTAGAAACAAACTCGGTTTACCCTTTTATCTGTGGATTAATTGTCAGAATAGAGTACCTTGTGCATTTCAGGTAAAATAACAACCCAATGTTTATATCCCAGGACAAATTATCTAGCAACAGCAAGCTAGCTAGCTAAATTGCCATAAATGTTTAATGCTTTTTGACCTGCGTCTGTTTCTCAAACTAGACACTCTAATGTATTTGTCCTCTTGCTCAGTTGTGCACTGGGGCCTCCCACTCCTCTTTCTAAATTGCCATAAATGTTTAATGCTTTTCGACCTGCGTCTGTCCCCAAATTAATATAGTTGGTTCAGAGTTCGTTTTGATATTTCAACCTGCGTGTCCTGATCGAGTCTGGTGAAGGTGGACAAATACAACATGCACGCGATGGCGCACATGGACGCATCGCGCCCGGTGTAGTCAGCATGTTAGAGAACGTTATGAAAAGGTTCCTATTTGGTTCTGATAAGACGTTATCCACGGGACATTCAATGACCACAAGGGGATGTTTTATGATGGTCAAGGTGACGTCGCATGATGGTCCCAAGGGAATGTTCTCTGAGGGACCTTTGTCTAGTTCCCTAGTTCACTGTACGTTTCCAGGACATCACTGAGGACCATGTCAGGACCTTTTTAAGACGTTCTCAGGACTTTTATTTTACCAGTCATTAGGACTTTGCGTGATGGTCCCAAAGGATTGTCCCTGCAAACAAAAATAAGTTGTTAGGACATTCCCGTTAATGTCACAAAATGGTTGCCTAAAGTGGTCAGGACTTTGTGTCATGGTTCCCTGGAGGTTTTGTGTAGTTCCTGCTTTTTCCCGGGGACGTCCCCAAGGATGTTTTTAGAACGTTCTTGGGCGTTGTGTCATGGTCCCCTGGAGGTTTTGGCTAGTTCCCGGTTTATCCTGGGGACATCGCTGAGGACGTTTTTAGGTCGTTCTTGGGCGTTGTGCCATAGTCCCATGGAGATTTTGTCTAGTTCCTGGTTAGTCCCAGGGACATCCATGAGGACGTTATTAGGACAGTCTTGGGACGTTGTGTCATAGTCCCCTACAGATTGTTATCTCTGCATTCATCTCGTATAAAATATTAATAGAGCAGTCTTTTCTATTCCCTGAAATCTCACCAAGGTAAGTTCAAGACCAGAATTTCTCCTATGTAGGCAAATTTACTTGGACCAGAATAAGTAATTACTTTTCTTTCACTTTGAAAATGTGGAGTACATTGTGTAGATCAGTAAAGAAAAAATCTAACTTAATCCCTTTTTAGATTTAAGGCAGCAAAATGTGAAGACTGTGCAAGGGGTGTGTAGACTTTCACTATGGACTGTATAGAGTTCAAACATGTTACATGTCAAAAGTATGTACATGTGACCACAGAGAGGGCCTCATCATGAAGAGTTAATGTAACAAGCATATAATAAGCATGTAACACATACGTAACAAACACGTTCAAAGAAACGATCCCTCTATCTTTAAACAGAAGGCTGTAGTATAAAGATGGTGAGTTCCCTCACCATGAAGACTGCTATGGCCCCTCCGATGATGAATCCGGCGATGACGTCACACCAGTGGTTGCGGTACTCCACCACCCTGTTGATGCCCGTGAGGAAGGCCAGACATATGAGACCCAGCGATAGGACAGGCTTGGCCAGCTTGGTCCCCTTGGCCTTCACTGTTAACGTGATGTACATCTGCAGCAGGGAGACACACATCAAATCAAATCAAATTTTATTGGTCACATGCGCCGAATACAACAGGTGTAGACCTTACAGAGAAATGCTTACTTATGAGCCCATTCCCAACAATGCAGTTAAAAAGTAAGACAAATATTTGCTAAATAAAAAAGGAAATAGTAAAAGAATAAAAACAATAACGAGGCTATATAGAAGGAGTACCAGTCCCAAGTCAATGTGCAGGTGTACAAGGTAGTTGAGGTAATTGAGGTAATACAGCATGTACATGTGGGTACGGGTAAAAGTGACTAGGCAATTAGGATAGATAATAAACAGAGTAGCAGCAGCGTATGTGAAGCGTGACAATGTGTATGTGTGGGTGTGTGTGGCGTCAATATGCATGTGTGTGAGCGTATGTAGTGTGTGTGTGTGTGTGTGTGTGTGTGTGTGTGTGTGTGAGAGAGCGTGTGAGTGTGTGTGTGTGTGTGTGTTGGAGTTGTACTGTACTGGGTCGTACACACTTCACTCTGTAGCGCCTTATGGTCGGATGCCGAGTAGTTGCCATACGAAGCGGTGATGCAGCCAGTCAAAATGCTTTCAATGGTGCATCTGTAGAACTTTGAGGATCTGAGGACCCATGCCAAATCTTTTTTAGCCTCCTGAGGGGCGTTTTTGTGCCCTCTTCACGACTGTGTTGGTGTGTTTGGACCATGATAGGTCCTTAGTTGATGTGGACACCGAGGAACTTGAAGCTCTTGACCCGCTCCACTATAGCTCTGTTGATGTGAATGGGGGCGTGTTTGGGATTCAGTTTCCTGTAGTCCACGATAAGCTCCTTTGTCTTGCCGACGTTGAGGGAGAGGTTGTTGTCCTGGCACCACACTGACAGGTCTCTGACCTCCTCCCTATAGGCTGTCTCATAGTCGTCAGTGATCAGGCCTACCATCAGCAAACTTAATGATGGTGTTGGGGTTGTGCGCAGCCACGCAGTCGTGGGTGAACAGGGTGTACAAGAGGGGACTCAGCACGTACACCTGAGGGGTCCCCATGTTGAGGGGCAGCATGGTGGATGTGTTGTTGCCTACACTCACCACCTGGTGGAATCCCATCAGGAAATCCAGGATCCAGTTGCAGAGGGAGGTGTTCAGTCCCAGGGTCCTTAGCTTAGTGATGAGCTTGGAGGGCACTATGATGTTGAACGCTGAGCTGTAGTCAATGAACAACATTCTCACGTAGGTGTTCCTTTTGTCCAGGTGGGAAAGGGCAGTGTGGAATGCAATAGAGATTGCGTCATCTGTGGATCTGTTGGGGCGCTATGCGAATTGGAGTGGGTCCAGGGTGTCTGGAATGATGGTGTTGATGTGAGCCATGACCAGCCTTTCAAAGCATTTCATGGCTACAGAGGCGGTAGTCATTTAGACAGGTTACCTTGGCGTACTTAGGCACAGGGACTATGGTGGTTTGATTGAAACATGTAGGTATTACAGACTGGGTCAGAGAGAGGTTGACGATGTTAGTGAAAACACTTGCCAACTGGTCAGCGCAAGCTCTATATACGTGTCCTGGTAATCCGTCTGGCCCTGCGGCCTTGTGAATGTAAACCTCTTTAAATGTCTTACTCACATCGGCTACGGAGAGCGTGATCATACAGTCATCTGGAACAGCTGGTGCTCTCATGCATGGTACAGTGTTGCTTGCCTCGAAGCGAGCATAGAAGGCATTTAGGTCGTCTGGTAGGCTCGCGTCACTGGGCAGCTCTCGGCTGGGTCTCACTTTGTAATCCGGGATAGTGTGCAGCCCCATCCGACGAGCGTCAAAGCCGGTGTAGTAGGATTCAATCTTAGTCCTGTATTGACACTGTGGGGATAACGTCGTCGATGCACTTATTAATAAAGCCGGTGACTGATGTGGTAAACTCCTCAATGCCATCGGATGAATCCCAGAATATATTCCAGTCTGTGCTAGCGAAACAGTCCTGTAGCTTAGCGTCCACTTCATCGGACCACTTCCGTGTTGAGCACGTCACTGGTACTTCCTGTTTGAGTTTTTGCTTGCAAGCAGGAATCAGGAGGATGTAGTTATGGTCTGATTTGCCAAATGGAGGGCGCGGGAGAGCTTGGTATGTGTCTCTGTGTGTGGAGTAAAGGTGATCTAGCGTTTTCATCCCTCTAGTTGCACAGTTGAAATGATGGTAGAAATGATGTAAAACGGACTTCAGTTTTCCTGCATTAAAATCACTGGCCACTAGGAGCGCTGCCTCTGGATGAGCATTTTCGTTTTTGCATATGGCTCTATACAGCTCGGTGAGTGCAGGCTTAGTGCCATCATTGGTTTGTGATGGTAAATAGATAGCTACGAAAAATACAGATGAAAACTCTCTTGGTGAATAGTGTGGTCTACAGCCCTCAAACTCAACACTGGACCTTGAAGCCAGTTCCACAGGCTCCAGACCTTGTACGGCAAGAGTTGAATAACCCTGGTCTACAGCTTATAATGAGGTATTCTACACTCTTAGAAAAAAAGGTGCTATCTAGAACCTAAAAGGGTTCTCCAGCTGTCCCCATAAGATAACTTTTGAAGAACCCTTTTTGGTTCTTTTTGGAAGGTTGGGTGTTTGATTTCCAGTCGTTTCATATGAAAGACAAAACATTTGGGACCTGGTGTCTCTGCTGTCTATGGGGCTGTATGTCAAGCTGCCTCACACTACAGAAACAGGAGATAGGCTCCTGCCCTATGGGCCATTCTGACTCAGGTAAGGCTTGCTTATCTTACCGCTCCAGGGTCAGTTGCAATGAACACTATTAAGAGCTCAAAAAAATATGTCTCTGTAGTTCATTTTGCTGAATTACAGTTCATAGAAGGAAATCAGTCAATTGAAGTAAATAAATTAGGCCCTAATTTATGGATTTCACATGACTGGGCAGGGGCGCAGCCATGGGCGGGCATAGGCCCACCCACTGGGGAGCCAGGCCCAGCCAATCAGAATTAATTTGTCCCTACAAAAGGGCTTTATTACAGACAGAAATACTCTTCAGAACCCCACCACCCTCAGATGATCCAGCAGGTGAAGAAGCCGGATGTAGAGGTCCTGGGCTGGCGTGGTTATATTTCTGCAGTCAGCATGCCAATTGCACGCCCCCTCAAAACTTGAGACATCTGTGGCCTTTTATTGTTCCCAGCACAAGGTGCATCTGTGTAATGATCATGCTGTTTAATCAGCTTCTTGATATGCCACACCTGTCAGGTTGTCACGCCCTGGCTCTGGGGACTCTTATATGTTGAGCCAGGGTGTGTAGGGTCTATGTTTTGTGTTCTATGTTCAGTTTCTAGTTCATGTGTTTTCTAGGTTGGCCGGGGTGGTTCTCAATCAGAGGCAACGAGAATCAGCTGTTGCTTGTTGTCTCTGATTGGGAACCATACTTAGGCAGCCTGTTGTGCATTTGTGTTTGGTGGGATCTTGTTCCGTGTTGGTTTGTGTTCATGACCGAGGACTTCACGTTTCGTTTTGTTGTTTTGTATTTTGTATCGTGTTGCTAGTACACTATTAAAGAGATGTACGCATATCACGTTGCGCCTTGGTCCAACCATTATGACGATCGTGACACAGGTGGATAGATTATATTGGCAAAGTAGAAATGCTCACTAACAGGGATGTAAACAAATTTGTGCACAAATTTGAAAGAAATAAGAATTTTGTGCGTATGGAAAATTTCTGGGATCTTTTATTTCAGCTCATGAAACATGGGACCAACACTTTACAAGTTGCGTTTATATTTTTGTTCAGTATACATTTAACATTTCAATGAACTTGCAGTTTCAATGAAGTGGAGATGAGATAAAACTTTTGCTCTAGTAACGTTTGGAGAGGACATTGTTTCTACTCTCCCAGCTCACCTCCAGTCCCTCACCCCACTAGCGACAAGCATGAAGGAGAGACAAGGGTTATGCAGCCGAGTCTATGTCTGATTCTAAGAGACAATGTCCAATAAGGCTGAAGAGCCAGAGGCAGCGACTACAGCTAAGCGCTAGCTGGTAGGCACAGAACAGCCCTGAGACCCAGAGACATAGCCTACAGTATTACCCAGAAAGCAATTTGAATAACTAGCCCTGCGTTCGCTCTGCATTGACTCCAAATGTACCCCTCCTCTGGCAACAATAAAACAATTCTAAGAAAACATTAGAAATTATTGCGCAAATATAAATACTGTCTTCTTAACATTCTAATGCTGGATGAGTGTTAATAATAGAAATTCCGGATACATTAGCCACTCATGTATGAGGTTAAGTGAAAGTTAATTTGCCCTGAAGCGCCATGTTAAGTAGCCTAGAGGTCCGACTTCTCTCTCATTAACAGGAACATGACTGTACTGTACTATATATTGTGGCAACACTGGAGTAACATACTTATCCATCTGACACTAATACAAATATGCCACTTAGAAGACACTTCCAAAGCAACTTACAGTACAGTGATCGCATGCATTTTTAATATGTGTGTGGCTGTGATCCCTGCAGGAAATTAACCCACAACCTTGGTGTGGCTAGCCTGCTAGCGCCATGCTCTTAACAACTGAGCCAAACAGATCTGACAGTTTTATAGTAATCTTCGAAGGTTCCATTATCATTAACTGTTATCGTTTCTGAAAAGGATGTCCCCAAATTGCTGTGTCTAGCCTCTACCTTCGGGCTTCACATACAATCAGTCGCTTTGAGAAAAACAGAGACATCCAATCTTGGAGGGCAAGCCACTTGAGCTGAAACTGGAAATGAGGGAGCACAGAATAGGATGGGGCGGTGATGCTGCTGATTTTGGAGCACCGTTCTCCCTGCACCGTCTTCAGAGAGGAAACTCTTCAATAAGAACTAATTTGATCAAAGTTGGAAAGTAATAAAGGGAAATATATTTTTTTAAAGGATATGTATATATATATGTATGTATATGTATTTATATGTACAGTAGAGAAAAAAAGTATTTAGTGGCTGACTAAATTGGTGGCTGACTAAATACTTTTTTTCCCCACTGTATGTGTATGTACAGTTGAAGTCGGAAGTTTACATTCACCTTAGCCAAATACATTTAAACTCAGTTTTTCACAATTCCTGACATTTAATCCTAGTAAAATTCCCTGTCTTAGGTCAGTTAGGATCACCACTTTATCCCAAAATAAGTTGGGTGAATTTTGGCCCATCCTCCTGACAGAGCTGGTGTAACTGAGTCAGGTTTGTAGGCCTCCTTGCTCGCACACGCTTTTTCAGTTCTGCCCACAAATTTTCTATAGGATTGAGGTCAGGGCTTTGTGATGGCCACTCCAATACCTTGACTTTGTTGTCCTTAAGCCATTTTGCCACAACTTTGGAAGTATGCTTTGGGTCATTGTCCATTTGGAAGACCCATTTGCGACCAAACTTTAACTTCCTGACTGATGTCTTGAGATGTTGCTTCAATATATCCACATAATTTTCCTTCCTCATGATGCCATCTATTTTGTGAAGTGCACCAGTCCCTCCTGCAGCAAAGCAACCCCACAGCATAATGCTGCCACCCCCGTGCTTCACGGTTGGGATGGTGTTCTTCGGCTTGCAACCCTTCCCCATTTTTCCTCCAAACACAACGATGGTCATTATGGCCAAACAGTTCTATTTTTGTTTCATCAGACCAGAGGACATTTATCCAAAAAGTACGATCTTTGTCCCCATGTGCAGTTGCAAACCGTAGTCTGGCTTTTTTATGCCGGTTTTGGAGCAGTGGCTTCTTCCTGGCTGAGCGGCCTTTCAGGTTATGTCGATATAGGACTCATTTTACTGTGGTTATAGATACTTTTGTACCTGTTTCCTCCAACATCTTCACAAGGTCCTTTGCTGTTGTTCTGGGATTGATTTGCACTTTTCGCACCAAAGTACGTTCACCTATAGGAGACAGAACGTGTTTCCTTCCTGAGCGGTATGACGGCTGCGTGGTCCCATGGTGTTTATACTTGCGTACTATTGTTTGTACAGATGAATGTGGTACCTTCAGGCGTTTGGAAATTGCTCCCAATGATGAACCAGACTTGTGGAGGTCTACCATTTTTTTTCTAAGGTCTTGGCTGATTTCTTTTGATTTTCCCATGATGTCAAGCAAAGAGGCACTGAGTTTGAAGGTAGGCCTTGAAATACATCCACAGGTACACCTCCAATTGACTCAAATGATGTCAATTAGCCTATCAGAAGCTTCTAAAGCCATGACATCATTTTCTGGAATTTTCCAAGCCGTTTAAAGGCACAGTCAACTTAGTGTATGTAAACTTCTGACCCACTGGAATTGTGATACAGTGAATTATAAGTGAAAGAATCTGTCTGTAAACAATGGTTGGAAAAATTACTTGTGTCATGCACAAAGTAGATGTCCTAACCAACTTGCCAAAACTATAGTTTGTTAACAAGACATTTGTGGAGTGGTTGAAAAACTGTGTATGTGTATGTAAACCTCCGACTTCAACTGTATATTTGCAAGAAGAAAAAAAACATATGGGGGATTGGAAGTGATGCAGACAATTACATTAATTGAAGTTACAATCTGTCTGCAATATTAAAGCTGATATACCCCCATTATTAAAAAATAAATAATACTAATAATTATTATTATTATTCAAAGTGCTCAACAACAGACATCAACAACAACAGCAGCAACCCTCCAAAACATCAACGGAGCAGCATTCTGCTCAGCCTAGATCCAACTGTTTAATTCAATAGCACAGCAGCAGCAGCACAATATATGCTTGGGGTGAAAAGATATGGACCTACTTTTGTAAACATAGATGCAATTATGTTCTAAATCTGAACTAAACAGATGGTTACCACAGGGATATTGTACAACTGTCTATTGTACAAATTAACATAATTTGGCTGTTCAAAGAAGTATAGGCAAAACAACTTTTAATGGAACCAAGTTCAGTCTCATAAACATGAAATTAATGGGCAATCATGAACATTCTGAAATAAGCAGAAATTCAATATAGGATTTGATAGCAGCAACCTCGCTTTGGACAGATCAGGGAAGATTCTGTATTCTCAAATGTTAAAGAGATATGGGCAGAGTTAACATCAAACTTCTGAAGTAGGACCACCAATAGAAATTAAGTATGTATAATAGGCCTTTAAAAAAAGTGGCATAGATCATCTTCAAACTGTCCTTAGTAGTACATTTGGCGTAGTCGGCAGGATCAGATATGCATAGTTAGCATGAGATCCCCCACTCACTGTATGTACTGTATACAGTGGCTTGCGAAAGTATTCACCCCCTTGGCATTTTTCCTATTTGGTTGCCTTACAACCTGGAATAAAAATAGATTTTTTGGGGGGGTTGTATCATTTCATTTACACAACATGCCTACCACTTTGAAGATGCAAAATATTTTTTATTGTGAAACAAACTTGAAATAAGACAAAAAAACTGAAAACTTTGGCATGCATAACTATTCACCCCCCCCCCAAAGTCAATACTTTGTAGAGCAATCTTTTGCAGCAATTACAGCTGCAAGTCTCTTGGGGTATGTCTCTATAAGCTTGGCACATCTAGCCACTGGGATATTTGCCCATTCTTCAAGGTAAAACTGCTCCAGCTCCTTCAAGTTGGATGGGTTCCGCTGGTGACCAGCAATCGTTAAGTCATACAACAGATTCTCAATTGGATTGAGGTCTGGGCTTTGACTAGGCCATTCCAAGACTTTTAAATGTTTCCCCTTAAACCACTCGAGTGTTGCTTTAGCAGTGTGCTTATGGTCATTGTCCTGCTGGAAGGTGAACCTCCGTCCCAGTCTCAAATCTCTGGAAGACTGAAACTGATTTCCCTCAAGAATTTCCCTGTATTTAGTGCCATCCATCATTCCTTCAATTCTGACCAGTTTCCCAGTCTCTGCCAATGAAAAACATCCCACAGCATGATGCTGCCACCACCATGCTTCACTGTGGGGATGGTGTTCTCGGTGTGATGAGAGGTGTTTGGTTTGCGCCAGACATAGCGTTTTCCTTGATGGCCAAAAAGCTCAATTTTAGTCTCATCTTCCATATGTTTGGGGAGTCTCCCACAGGCGAACACCAAACGTGTTTGCTTATTTTTTTCTTTAAGCAATGGCTTTATTCTGGCCACTCTTCCGTAAAGCCCAGCTCTGTGGAGTGTACGGCTTAAAGTGGTCTTATGGACAGATACTCCAATCTCCGCTGTGTAGTTTTGCAGCTCCTTCAGGGTTATCTTTGGTCTCTTTGTTGCCTCTCTGATTATTGCCCTCCTTGCCTGGTCCGTGAGTTTTGGTGGGCGGCCCTCTCTTGACAGGATTGTTGTGGTGCCATATTCTTTCCATTTTTTAATAATGGATTTAATGGTGCTCCGTGGGATGTTCAAAGTGTTGGATATTTTTTTATAACCCAACCCTGATCTGTACTTCTCCACAACTTTGTCCCTGACCTGTTTGGAGAGCTCCTTGGTCTTCATGGTGCTGCTTGCTTGGTGGTGCCCCTTGCTTAGTGGTGTTGCACTCTGGGGCCTTTCAGAACAGGTGTATATACACTGAGATCATGTGACAGATTATGTGACACTTAGATTGCACACAGGTGGACTTTATTTAACTAATTATGTGACTTCTGAAAGTAATTGGTTGCACCAGATCTTATTTGGGGGCTTCGTAGCAAAGGGGGTGAATACATACAGTGGGGAGTATTTGATACACTGCCGATTTTGCAGGTTTTCCTACTTACAAAGCATGTAGAGGTCTGTAATTTTCAAAAATCCAGAAAATCACATTGTATGATTTTTAAGTAATTAATTTGCATTTTATTGCATGACATAAGTATTTGATACATCAGAAAAGCAGAACTTAATATTTGGTACAGAAACCTTTGTTTGCAATTACAGAGATCATACGTTTCCTGTAAGTCTTGGCCAGGTTTGCACACACTGCAGCAGGGATTTTGGCCCACTCCTCCATACAGACCTTCTCCAGATCCTTCAGGTTTCGGGGCTGTCGCTGGGCAATACGGACTTTCAGCTCCCTCCAAAGATTTTCTATTGGGATCAGGTCTGGAGACTGGCTAGGCCACTCCAGGACCTTGAGATGCTTCTTAAGGAGCCACTCCTTAGTTGCCCTGGCTGTGTGTTTCGGGTCGTTGTCATGCTGGAAGACCCAGCCACGACCCATCTTCAATGCTCTTACTGAGGGAAGGAGGTTGTTGGCCAAGATCTCGCGATACATGGCCCCATCCATCCTCCTCTCAATACGGTGCAGTCGTCCTGTCCCCTTTGCAGAAAAGCATCCCCAAAGAATGATGTTTCCACCTCCATGCTTCACAGTTGGGATGGTGTTCTTGGGGTTGTTTGTACTCATCCTTCTTCTTCCTCCAAACACGGCGAGTGGAGTTTAGACCAAAAAGCTCTATTTTTGTCTCATCAGACCACATGACCTTCTCCCATTCCTGCTCTGGATCATCCAGATGGTCATTGGCAAACTTCAGACGGGCCTGGACATGCGCTGGCTTGAGCAGGGGGACCTTGCGTGTGCTGCAGGATTTTAATCCATGACGGCGTAGTGTGTTACTAATGGTTTTCTTTGAGACTGTGGTCCCAGCTCTCTTCAGGTCATTGACCAGGTCCTGCCGTGTAGTTCTGGGCTGATCCCTCATCTTCCTCATGATTATTGATGCCCCACGAGGTGAGATCTTGCATGGAGCCCCAGACCGAGGGTGATTGACCGTCATCTTGAACTTCTTCCATTTTCTAATAACTGCGCCAACAGTTGTTGCCTTCTCACCAAGCTGCTTGCCTATTGGCCTGTAGCCCGTCCCAGCCTTGTGCAGGTCTACATTAATATATCCCTGATGTCCTTACACAGCTCTCTGGTCTTGGCCATTGTGGAGAGGTTGGAGTCTGTTTGATTGAGTGTGTGGACAGGTGTCTTTTATACAGGTAACGAGTTCAAACAGGTGCAGTTAATACAGGTAATGAGTGGAGAACAGGAGGGCTTCTTAAAGAAAAACTAACAGGTCTGTGAGAGCCGGAATTCTTACTGGTTGGTAGGTGATCAAATACTTATGTCATGCAATAAAATGCAAATTAATTACTTAAAAATCATACAATGTGATTTTCTGGATTTTTGTTTTAGATTCCGTCTCTCACAGTTGAAGTGTACCTATGATAAAAATTACAGACCTCTACATGCTTTGTAAGTAGGAAAACCTGCAAAATCGGCAGTGTATCAAATACTTGTTCTCCCCACTGTATGCACGCACCACTATTCCGTTATTTATTTTGTAGACATTTTTGAAACAAGTTATTTTTTTCATTTCACTTCACCAATTTGGACTATTTTGTGTATGTCCATTACATGAAATACAAATAAAAATCCATTTAAATTACAGGTTGTAATGCAACAAAATAGGAAAAACGCCCACCAACAAACAAACAAATATGGTAACTTCTACAAATAGTATACTACACTTACCGCTGTGTAGAGCGCGGCGTAGACACTGAGTGCCGCCTCTTTGGAGGGGAAGGATTTGCGGCTGCGCATGATGTCGTCCTCGTTTCCCGTGCACGCCCCCTTTTGGTTGACGAAGCGGGCAGTCTGCATGCAGCCCAGGGCCGTGTAGTTGGGCTTACACACTGTCAGGAAGTGGGGGGACAGGTTTCCTGTCACAACCTGGCCTGCATTCACAAATATGTCTGTGGAGAAACAGGTCCGAACGCATACACACCTAGAGAGAGAGAGAGAGGAAGAGAGAAGAGAGAGAGAGAGTTTGAAAGAAGGGAGGAAAAAGGGGAAAAGGGAAAAGGAAAAAAGAATGATGGGGGAAGGGGGAAAAAATAAAGAAAGGGGGAAAAAAGGGGGGGAAAGGGGGGAAGGGGAGAGGGGGAAAAAGGGGGAAGGGGGGGGAAAAGGGGGGAAAAAGGGAAGGGGGAGGGAGAGGGGGAAAAAAAGGGGGGAAAAAAGAAAAAAAAGGGGAAAAAAAAGGGGGGAAAAAGTCCCAAAAAAAAGGGGAAAAGGGGAAAAACCCCCGGGGGTTTTAAAAAAAAACCCCCAAAAAAAAAAAAGAGGAAAAAAATTTGGGGGGGGTTAAGGGGGGGTGGGACGGGCCAAAAAATAGGGGGTTATGTATTATTTTTTCAAAGGTCCCCCCAACCCCATTAACCAAAAAAACAAAGGGGAAAAATTTTTTTAAAAAAGGGGAAAAAAGGGGCCCCAAAAAGGGGTTATCAAAAAACCCCCAAACAAATAAAAGGCAAAAAACCCCCCAGAGGAGAGAGGACGCGCGAGAGAGAAGAGAGAGAGAGATGAAGAGAGAAGAGAGAGAGGAGAGAGGAGAGAGAGAGAGAGAGAGAGAGAGAGAGAGCAGAGAGAAGATAGAGATAGAGAAGATCGAGAGGAGAGGAAGATAGAGAGAGAGAGAGAGGAGAGAGAGAGAATAGAGAGAGAGGAAGGGGCACAGCCGGAAGAAACAAAGAAAGAGAGTGATTGATGAGAACAAAGGTTAGAGGTGAGGAAGTGAAGAGACAGGTCATATGAGTCATAGACTAATGATGAGTATGTGATTATCTTTGTCTAGACGAGTCCTTCACCTTGAATGTCTTCCTTCAGCTTGAACTTCTCCAGAAAATAAACAATTGTTAAACGCTTGACTGCAGTTTCTGATTAGACCAGGGATGGGCAACTGGTGGCACAATAGCCGTGTTCACGTGCTAGTCAGAACTAGGAAACTCTGAAATGTCTAACTTGTAATTCGTGTTCAACGAATTACCAACTCTGAAATTTCAGAGTTTCCTAGTTCCGACTAGCATGTGAATGCGGCATCAGTGGGGGTCTCAACTTATTGTTGAGAGTTAAAATAGCAGAATACACAAGGTGCAATTTAGAAGTTTGGTTGTGCATCAGAAGTTTTTCTCCTGTTATGTCAGTCACTGACAGTCACTCAATTAGCCCATGTCAGCAAAAAAAAATTTGACTGTTAAATTAGTCTAGACAGCTATCTAAACTTGTAGTAATCATGGTCAATTTTGTTAGTCACTCTCACTCAGATATCATATTAAAAATGGCAAACATTTCTCTCCACCCTATGGCAAAATGTGTAGAAATACAGGAAATTTGTCACGGGTGCTGAATGTGGGTGTGGTGCAGGAATCAAGCGCAGGACGCAGAAACTAAGTCCAAAAGAATTTAGTGAAATATTCACGTAGTACACGAGTCCAACAAGCCCGGAGGCGAAATTAAGGCGCACACAGGCGTCAAACAAAAGGCGCACTAACATGTGCGAAAAACCTCTCCAAAACAACGGAGGGAAACACGTAGCTCAGAACACCAAACAGAAGCGTAATCACACACAACACCTGACACACACAACGAGAACTAAATAGGACACAAATGAAGACTAACTAGAAACAGGTGTACAACATCAAGACAAAACCAAACGAACATGAAACATAGATCGGTGGCAGCTAGTACACCGGGGACGACGACCGCCGAAACCTGCCCGAGCAAGGAGGAGGAGCAGCCTCGGCCGAAACCGTGACAGTAACCCCCCCCCCCCCCCCCCCCTTGACGCGCGGCTCCAGCCGTGCGCCGACCCCGGCCTCGGGGACGACCAGGAGGATGCGGAGCAGGGCGCGTGGGATGGCCCCGGTGGAATTCCGACAGGAGAGACGGGTCTAGGATGTCCCTCCGTGGCACCCAGCACCGCTCCTCCGGGCCGTACCCCTCCCACTCCACGAGATACTGGAGACCCCCCATCCGGCGTCTTGAGTCCAAGATGGACCGAACGGTGTACGCCGGAGCCCCCTCGATGTCCAGTGGGGGCGGAGGAGTCTCTCCTATCTCACCTTCCTGGAGTGGACCAGCTACCACCGGCCTGAGAAGAGACACATGGAACGAGGGGTTAATATTCTTATATTCAATAGGCAGATGTAACCTATAACACACATCGTTCAATCTTCTCAGGACTTTAAAAGGCCCCACAAACCGCCGACCCAGCTTCCGGCAGGGCAGGCGGAGGGGCAGGTTTCTGGTTGAGAGCCAGACTCGATCTCCGGGTGCGTACACCGGCCCCTCACTGCGGTGGAGATCGGCGCTCGCCTTGTGTCGACGGATGGCCCGCTGCAGGTGGACGTGTGCAGCGTTCCACGTCTCCTCCGAGCGCCTCATCCAATCATCCACCGCAGGGGCCTCGATCTGGCTCTGCTGCCAAGGTGCCAGAACCGGCTGGTAACCTAACACACATTGGAAGGGGGATAGGTTGGTAGAGGAGTGGCGGAGAGAGTTCTGGGCCATCTCGGCCCAGGGAATATACCGAGCCCACTCCTCCGGCCGGTCCTGGCAATACGACCTCAGAAACCTACCCACATCCTGGTTGACTCGTTCTACCTGCCCATTGCTCTCCGGGTGGTACCCCGAGGTAAGGCTCACCGAGACCCCCAAACGCTCCATGAACGCTCTCCAGACTCGGGAGGTAAACTGGGGGCCTCGATCAGACACTATATCCTCGGGTACCCCGTAATGCCGGAAGACGTGGGTAAATAGTGCCTCTGCGGTCTGTAGGGCAGTAGGAAGACCCGACATAGGGAGAAGACGACAGGCCTTAGAGAACCGGTCCACAACGACCAGGATGGTGGTATTCCCCTGCGAGGGGGGAAGGTCTGTCACAGAATCCACTGAGAGGTGGGACCATGGTCGTTGTGGAACGGGCAGGGGTTGTAACTTACCCCTGGGCAGGTGTCTGGGCGCCTTACACTGGGCGCACACCGAGCAGGAGGAGACATAAACCCTCACATCCCTGGCTAACGTGGGCCACCAGTATTTAGTGCTAAGACAATGCACTGTCCGGCCAATACCCGGATGTCCAGAGGAGGGTGACGTGTGAGCCCAGTAAATGAGTCGATCCCGAATCTCGAGCGGAACGTACTTCCGACCCACAGGACACTGTGGAGGGCTAGGGTCGGCACGCAACGCCGCTCGATTTCAGCATCGACCTCCCACACAACCGGTGCCACAAGACAAGACGCCGGTAGTATGGGAGTAGGCTCAACGGACCTCTCCTCCGTGTCATACCGCCGGGACAGCGCATCTGCCTTACCGTTCTGGGACCCAGGGATGTACGTGATTTTAAATACGAACCTGGCGAGAAACATACTCCATCGAGCCTGGCGAGGGTTCAGTCTCCTCGCTGCCCGGATGTACTCCAGGTTCCGATCGTCAGTCAAAATGAGGAAAGGGTGTTGAGCCCCCTCAAGCCAATGCCTCCACACCTTAAGGGCCTGGACTACAGCTAACAGCTCCCTGTCCCCGACGTCATAATTTCGCTCCGCCGGGCTGAGCTTCTTAGAATAAAAAGCACAGGGGCAGAGTTTAGGTGGCGTGCCTGACCGTTGAGAGAGTACGGCCCCTATACCGGCCTCAGAAGCGTCCACCTCGACCTGAAAGGGTAAGGCGGGAACCGGATGTGCCAGCACCGGAGCCGACGTAAACAGGTCCTTCAGTCTCCCAAAGGCCCTGTCCGCCTCGGCTGACCACTGCAGGCGCACCGGACCCCCTTTCAGAAGGGATGTGATGGGAGCTGCCACCTGTCCAAAACCCCGGATAAACCTCCGGTAGTAATTCGCAAAGCCCAAGAACTGCTGCACCTCTTTGACAGTGGTTGGGGTTTGCCAATTACGCACGGCTGACACACGGTCCACCTCCATTCTCACCCCTGACGCGGACAACCGATAACCCAAAAAGGAGACCGACTCCTGGAAAAACAGACATTTCTCTGCCTTGACATACAGGTCGTGCTCCAACAGCCTCCTCAATACACGACGCACCAGGGCTACATGCTCGGCTCAGGTAGGCGAGTACACTAGAATGTCATCAATGTACACGACCACCCCTTGCCCCTGCATGTCCCGGAAAATCTCATCCACGAAGGATTGGAAGACTGATGGAGCATTCATCAACCCGTATGGCATGACGAGATACTCTAAATGACCCGAAGTGGTACTAAACGCTGTTTTCCATTCGTCGCCCTCCCTAATGCGCACCAAGTTATACGCGCTCCTGAGATCCAGTTTTGTGAAAAACCGCGCTCCGTGCAATGACTCCGTCATGGTCGCAATCAGAGGGAGTGGATAACTGTATTGCACAGTAATCTGATTGTGACCACGGTAATCAATGCACGGGCGCAACCCTCCATCTTTTTTCTTCACAAAAAAGAAGCTCGAGGACGCGGGAGAAGTGGAGGGCCGTATGTATCCCTGTCTCAAAGATTCGGCTATGTAAGTCTCCATAGCTTTTCTCTCCTCTTGAGACAAAGGATACACGTGGCTCCGTGGGAGCGCTGCTCCTGCCTGGAGATCAATCGCACAATCCCCCTGTCTATGAGGAGGCAACTGTGTCGCCCTAGCTTTACTAAACACGATAGCCAAATCCCCATATTCAGGCGGAATGTGCAGTGCGGGCACTTGGTTTGGACTTTCCACCGAAGTCGCCCCCCACGGAAACACCCAGACATCGCCCCTCACACTGAGCAGACCACCCATTGAGAGCTCTCTGTTGCCACGAAATGGCAGGGTTATGGGTACTTAACCAGGGAATTCCCAGCACCACCGGGTACGCAGGAGAGTCGATCAGATATAGCTGTATAGTCTCCTCATTACCCCCCTGCGCACACATCCTAAGTGGCGCTGTGATTTCCCTAATCAACCCCGACCCCAACGGGCGGCTATCTAAAGCATGAACGGGAAAAGGCTTGTCAACAGGCAGGAGGGGAATCCCTAAATCTAAACAAAACTTCCGGCCACAATTGGTGCAGGGGACAGGCCCCCTCGGGCTCCTCCTCCTCCTTTCTCTAGCGCCAGCACCCCCGAGCTCCATAGGGCTCGGCTCGGAGGTGCTGGAGGGTGGAATGGACGGACCCCACTCGGGACGTCCACGGGTGGCCAGCAGGGTGTCCAGACGGATGGACATGTCGACCAACTGGTCGAAGGTGAAATTGGTGTCCCTGCAGGCCAACTCAGGTTGAACATCCTCCCGTAGACTACATCGAAAATGGTCGATGAGGGCCCGTTCATTCCACCCTGCGTCTGCCGCTAGAGTCCGGAACTCCAGTGCGAACGCCTGTGCGCTCCTCCTCCCCTGTCTCAGGTAGAACAGACGCTCCCCCGCCGCTTTGCCCTCAGGTGGATGGTCGAACACGGCCTTGAAGCGACGGGAGAACTCTGCGTAGGAGATGGTGGTGGCGTCCATCCTCCTCCACTCGGCGTTGGCCCATTCCAACGCCTTGCCCGTGAGACAGGAGATGAGGGCGGAAACAATCTCGTGTCCCGAGGGCACCGGGTGTACAGTGGCCAGGTAGAGCTCCACCTGCAGGAGGAACCCCTGACACCCGGCAGCTGTGCCGTCATACGCCCTCGGGAGCGAGAGCCGAATCCCACTGGGTTCCGGACCTGGGACTGGTGGACCGGCCGATGGGGGTGGCAAGGTAGGTGGAGGTGTGGGTACCCCTCTGGACTCCCATCGGTGCAGGGTGTTGATGACATCCTGTAGAGCGGTCCCCAGTTGTCTGATCTGGTCATCCTGGCCGCGGACATGCTCCTCCAGCGACTCAGGTGTGGCTGTTGCTCCTGCTGATTCCATTATATATGGTGTGTGATTCTGTCACGGGTGCTGAAGGTGGGTGTGGTGCAGGAATCAAGTGCAGGACGCAGAAACTAAGTCCAAAAGACTTTAGTGAAATATTCACGTAGTACACGAGTCCAACAAGCCCGGAGGCGAAATAAAGGCGCACACAGGCGTCAAACAAAAGGCGCACTAACATGTGCGAAAACCTCTCCAAAACAACGGAGGGAAACACGTAGCTCAGAACACCAAACAGAAGCGTAATCACACACAAAACCTGACACACACAACGAGAACTAAATAGGACACTAATGAAGACTAACTAGAAACAGGTGTACAACATCAAGACAAAACCAAACGAACATGAAACATAGATCGGTGGCAGCTAGTACTCCGGGGACGACGACCGCCGAAACCTGCCCGAGCAAGGAGGAGGAGCAGCCTCGGCCGAAACCGTGACAAATTTGCTGTGAAACTGCACATTTTTCTCTCCGCCCCATGGCAAAATGGTTAGAAGTGCAGCAAACTTTCTTTAAAACAAACATGTTCTCTATGTCCCATGGCAAAATGGTTAGAATTGCCTGAAATTAGTTTTTTTTTAAACAACAAAAAAAGCTTCATTTCACTTAGGGCCCCCAAAAGTCTAGGGCCAGCTCTGACTGCATGTGTGGGTATGGATGTGGGTACACAGACCCGCGAGCAACTGTGGTTCCTCATGATGAGTTCAGATTGTTTGTGGCCCCCACCCCATCAATGTTGCCAATAACTGGATTAGGTAAGATGACAAACTACTAGTAATTGAGTTGAATAGCTCCACAGCATGTCTGGCAAGGTTATAGATAACTTTCAGATCTCCAAATGAGTGGTAAGAACGAGGCAGAGTGGTAGTGGGTATCCATTTACTATTAGATCTGACACATTTACAGTGCCTTCAGAAAGTATTCACACCCCTTGACTTTTTCCAAATGTTGTTGTGTTATAGCCTGAATTTAAAATGGATTAAATTGAGATATTGTGTCACTGGCCTACACATAATACCCCATAATATCAAAGTGGAATTATGTTTTTAGATATTTTTACAAATTAATTAAAAATTAAAAGCTGAAATGTCTATAACATTTACATTTACGTCATTTAGCAGACACTCTTATCCAGAGCGACTTACAAATTGGTGCATTCACCTTATAGCCAGTGGGATAACTACTTTACAATTATATATTTTTTTGGGGGGGTGGGGTGGGGTAAGGGGGGGTAGAAGGATGACTTATCCTATCCCAGGTGTTCCTTAAAGAGGTTGGGTTTCAAATGTCTCCGGAAGGTGGTGAGTGACTCCGCTGTCCTGGCGTCGTGAGGGAGCTTGTTCCACCATTGGGGTGCCAGAGTATTCAACCCTTTTGTTATGGCTATATAATATAGATGTTTAGTGAACTACTCTGTCTCACTTAAGGGCAGGCAACAGAACAAACCCTACCTCTTTAAGGAATACCTGGAATAGTATAAAAGTAATCCTTCTACCCCCCTCCCCCACCCCCCCATAAAAAATATAATAAAATAAAAAGTGGTTGTCCCACTGGCTATCATAAGTTGAATGCACCAATTTGAAAGTCGCTCTGGATAAGAGCGTCTGCTAAATGACGTAAATGTAATGTAAATGTAAACCAATTATATGAATTATGCATGTTGTAGAATGAAACACCTATATGCCCTATATGCCAATGAAAGGGTTAAAACAGAGCCATGATGAAATGGCTCTATAGGTATTTTTCCATTACATATATTATAATATGTCAAGGACATGGGATGGAGATAAACTTTAGGAACAGATAGACCTGTATTGTTTCCATTTCTCGTTGCTTCTGAGTAACCTGGTCACACGGTCAAGACAAAGAGCCTCAGAGTGACCACAGTTTTTCAGTTCATCCTGTCTTTTACTATCTTTCAATGGCACAGCTGTGTGGAGATATGAGTAGTTACGGAACTACAGTTATCACTTGTTTGTGCGCTATGACCCGATACACATAGCCACAAGAAGAAAACCATAGTGGCTCCAGGTCAAGGGAGGGGGGCTGTTTGGATAAAGAGGGGGTTCCGATATGATATGAAAAGGAGACCAAGCAGACATGGGGATAGACAGGAAAGAAGCTAGACAAAGAAACCATAGTGGCTCAGATATGATATGAAAAGATGAAGCTGTATAAAAAGAGAGCTCCAAGTCTGGGACGGCAGTTGCTCTGCAGACCAGCTCGGCTCTATTGCTTGTGTAATAAAGTCTATCTTGATTCTACAAAAACTCTGAAAGTACTTTGTTTGTTTGATAATTTTCTACAACATAATTGGCGAACACGAAGGGACTGGAAAAAGAAACCATAGGGGTGCTGCGCCATCTGGAGGAGGCTGAACGAATCACACAAACACAGTGGCCACTGTAAACAGAGGTAAGCAGCGCTCTTACTTTTAGCATAGAAATTGTGTGGTTCGCTCAGCTGATTCTGGAAGGTCAGGTACCGGGGGTCTCTGCAGTATTATGGACTAAATCTAGGAAAAGTACAGAGTATTTGTTGGAATGAGAAATAAGCATGCATGTAATATTGTTGTTTCAGTCATATAAGTCTAAGAGCCTATGGATATCGCTTTGGAGAGCTAAGGTTAGAGCTCAAAAGGACTGCCCGGATAGGCTGCCTATGGATACCACTCTAACGTGTTGAGGAAGTGCATCGTTAGAGGGCTGCGCGGGTAGGCTGTGCATAAATTTAAAAAATCCTGTGTATATAGCCCAGGGCTGCAATACATAGAGGAAAGTTAGGTAGGGTAGTTCTGATCATCCTGAGTAGGTGATGTAATAATTAGAGTAGCGCTGCTCATCCTGTGTAGGTGAGCAGAAGCGAAATAGCCGCAAGGGCTGCAATACATAGAGAAAGCGCTAGGTAGAGTAGGTCTGCTCAGCCTGTGTGGGTGGATAGTTTGCTTGGGCGGCTGTGATTCATTCAGTTTGGTTAAGTTGGATGGTTCATCTGTCTCATTCAGGTTGCTCATTTGATCAGTTTGATCAATCTGTTTGATTCGATTGTTTTGTCTGACTCGTTTTGTACAAGACTGGTTTTATTTGACCTGTTCGAGTTTGCGAAAGCAATCCGTTCATCTTGGTCAACCGGTCTGACTCAATTCATGCATTCAATTCATTGAGGTCACTCAGTTGTTCATCTGGTGTATTTGTTCAATTCGTCTGATTCATTTGTTCGTCCTGCTGGCCATTCTGTTCGATTTATTTTGGCGCGAGCGGCTGCTCATCTTTGTGGGTGATCAGAAAAGAAAAATAAATCCTGCGAATAATAGCCCTTTCTGTGTTGAGGAGGTGAATCAGGAAAGGGACTAGATTTGAGGTCGCTTGAAGTTTCTGTCTCGCTTTAGGAGGAGAAGAATAAACGGTGCGTGAATGTTCATTGACATACTGAGTGTGGAAAAATGCACGTTTCCAGGAGGGTTAGAATTAAGAGCAAGGTGGGCACAAATAAGAACACCTCAATATAACATTCGAAGGTGGTGGCGTGGACCGGGAGAAAAGATAACAGTCAAACCACAATTATTTAAACAGTGGTGGATACAGGAAATAGTAATACTAGAAAACTATCTAGGAGAATTTGAGATATGGACTAGCCGTCCAGGTATAAACAAGTATATAAAGAAGTAAAAAGGAAAACTAAAAAGGAAAGTTAGGGAATAAATGCCAAGACGAAGAATAGAATGAGAACCAGCGGCATTCAGATATAGGATAAAGGGATGTACATTAGTAGAATACACAGTGACAGCAAACATAAAAATAATAACATATGATGTGGATATACTGAAAGACAGGAAAAGCAGATATAGGAATTTAGATATGAAAGACTTTACGAAAATAGAAGTGTAGGAATATTGGAGAAAATAGTAACGTGGGTATTAATAGGGGAAATTAGGGTGTGGTCCGGCCATTGTATCTCGATGGGACCGATCCCTGCAGGTTTCCCTAATTTGGAAACCTTAGAAGTTATTTATGATTATGGTAAAATTGGTTATAGTAAAATGGTAATGTGATAGATTTGACATTCCAAATTTGGGCACCTTTTACAGAATAACATTTTCCTGCAGGTTATACAAATATTGATTAAGTGTGTTTGGGAATAGCATTGTATGAAAGTGGAAATAAGTCTTAATCTGAAGTTTGGATAATAAGAGATAGAAATGTGTATGAAAATATGATGAATTTTATGTGTGTGTAATCAATTGCTAGAGATTTGATAAAGTAATAATTGGAATAATATTAATATACTAACGTGTGCACCCAAACGTAGACATACGTCAGGGGTGGGAAACAATAAATAAACATTTTCTGAGTTGGTGCCATTTATGGATCATTTGATAGAGATAAGGTTAAGCATTATATGACTGTCTACAAAGTCTGGGCAATAGTCTCAGAAACTGAGTGGCGTATGTCCACTTTTTGAAAAATATGGGGAATTGACTTACCCTAACGATGTAACTATAAAGGCTTATGGGATTTTCTCCATCCAAGTAAAACATGTAAGGAAAAACTGCCCATAAGGCCTGGAAATGATCTACGTAATTTATAACATAGTACAAAGCCAATTTAGGGTTTCCATCAAACTAATTATCATTGCGGAGCTAATGTGATGTAGTAAAGGAATTTCATTATGACGCAAGGAAAAACATAATCCGTTTGATTAAACTCGCCAGATCTGTTTCCAAATCAATGAATGTGGATTTGGTTTCCAAATCAATGAATGTAGATTTGACTTGTTGACTGCTAATTTATTCCCTTTGAGCATGTAAGATCTTTGCAAAGAAACACTTGGACAACCTTTAAGGCTATTTTCTGGTAATTGTGTTATGTGCCAGATGTTAAGACTACAAACCATTGTAATTGGGATATTTGCGGGATTTACTTGTAATTTCAATAGGCATAGGTTCTGTGTTACTGACTAAAATCTGGGTTTCTGATTAGAATTCAACTATGGCCATGGGTTGCTTAGATTGAAATAGCAGCCAGTGTTTATTTTAAGATGTAAACTGAACGATTTAGCAGCTTGCTTAGTTCAAATTGAGAGGCTAAGTTATTGAACATGAATAGCGGAACGATTTCGAGCTAATACGTTTTTTGGTGTGGCCTAATCCTAATGGTTTGCTTGAGGAACCTACTGAGAATGGGGTTGTAATTTAAAATATTGAATTTAATATGGATATTAATTGAATATATGCTTGTCAACTACAGCAAGTGTTTGTTTTGTTACCTGTAGCCTAATCAGAAAGGACAGTTACCTAAATCTACTGACTTCTAATAATAGCGGCTTGGCAATTGCAATAGAGCTGTGGCCATGATCTTAATTGATAACAAAGGAAAGTAAGTTTATATTAAGTGAGAATTTCGAATTTGAATTGTTTGGGTAGACTGGAAAGAAAATAATGCCTTCTAATAATGTGAATGCAAATATGTTATTCGTTTTTTGGTGGTTTGTGGATAGACTTTACTAATGCCATGTTTTAGTCCGTGGGTGAAAGAGAGTCGTGCTCGCTGGGCTATATCAGCAGAGGTCTGAATAGTTTAATCGGAAACGTTCTTGGACAATTTCTAATTATTATTACTCAATTCTATAGTTTGCGTAACACCATTGATTTATGCAAACATTTCATTCATTCTAAAACGATAATCTGTTTCCGTTACGTGGAACAGTGGATTGCAGGTAGTTTTGAATATTACGCTGATGGGACAGCACCAACTTTTTGTAGGTTCTAGATTTGTTAAACAACAAATTTATATTTTGACTAAATTAATGCAATAGGTTACAATGATAACATTACCAGAAAGGGGCACAATCTAAAGCGAAACAGCTATTACCTATGTCGTTGATCCAGTAACGATACCAGGTTAATTGGACAGGAAAGATAATAAAGAGAACCACAAATAAAAGTGTCTATAGTATTGAGAGAAGTTCAGTGGATTATCCAAAATGAGCAGCAATAAAATAAGGGAACAATTAGGCACAAGGAAAACAGTAAGGAAAATATTGTTGACCCTACACCCTAACATAGACACTGAACCAAACATAAAGCTAGCGTCAGGGAGACCAAGAATACAGGGAATTGAGATGGCAGGAACACCAGTAGAAATCACAAAGAAGAGATTGGAAAAAGCTCTAATAAATGGGAAATAAGAACCAGAAAAATGGCAACAAAATTGCCAAAGGAAGGGACGTTTGATGTGACTGTGTGTTAGGAAATGGATACCATAATAAAGTACTATAAAACAGGATAGAAAGGGGAGAAAATAAAGAAGAAGAGAGAGAAAGAGAGAGAAATGTTGTGGGAGGAAGGAACGGGATGGAGAGAGCATGGCCAAAGTCAGAAGGATAATAATGGAAAAAGAACCAAAGAAGGTTGGCTTAACTGCACCTCCACCATACACACAAGAGGGACAATTTCCCCAGGTCACAGGACTAGTCTCAATAACAGGGAATGTAGAGCTAAAAGTAGAAAAAGGGAAGGAGCAAGCTTCCACCCCAAAAAGAGAAAGAAGATCTCACTTAGATATAGACTGTTATGAGGGACTGAGGGGCATGTTAACAAAACTGGAAAATTATAGGATAGATGAACAAGATTATGATGGGCAAAGTAAGCGGGAGGATGCAAGTGATGAGGAAGATGAAGAACTTAGACAGTGTGCTGACTCTGATCAAGAACAATGTGAGACAGAGGGAGCCACAGGAGGCAAATCTATAGTAACATAATTAGGTAAGGCACTGCAAGCCCACCTGGAAAAATCAAAAAGATAATTAAGAAACAGAAGGACAATAAAAAAGCAAGAAAAGTATGGAGCTCAATATCCCATTTTGGTAAAGGGGACACATGTTCACTATGTGCCCTGGGGATCGCAGGACCTGGAAGGCCTGGTGATTAGACTGCCAAACATGCATGAAGGAGCAGGAAAATGGATTAGAACATTTGAAGAACAAATAAAGGGGAAACTACTGGCGGTGGGAGACTTGAAGGCATTGCTGGCCAGGATGGTGGGAGTGGCCAAAATGGAGGACCTGTTGCAGGCAGGTGGCCTCATACAGGCAGTGCGGAGGACGTTACTGGATGGAGTGACATTTTACAATTATAGGCCAGGACTATGGCACACTCTGAGAATAGAGTATCCAGCCAAAATAGAGCCTAAAGCACTGAGAGGGGAGCCATTGGGGGATAAAGAAAACCCGGCAGGTTACCTGGAGGACCAGCTCAAGAGGTGGCGACAAGAAACAGAAAGAGACCCAGAGGGGGATCCACTGATGACAACACTGTTCAGGACATCACTGATGGAAGCAATGCCAATGCCTGTCAGAAGCAGACTGGAAGATATGGTTGGACTTACGTCAAAGTCACACAAAGAGTTCTGCGACCATGTTATCCACGCAGTGGAAAAATACAGGAAGGACAAACAGAAACTGACAGAGCAGGGAAGAGACATTCAAAGAAAACTGACACAGATGCAGCTGGAAGAGCTGACAAGAAAGGTCATAAAGAAAACACAAGCTCCAGTGATTACTCCGACACCGCCAGAGGCTGGCGCCATGGCACCTGTCATCCAGGGAGGTCCACAACTGCCGCCTCAACAACAAGGCCAAAGAGCTCCTGCCATACCAGTAGTGAATGTGTACACACAACAATCCCCTGGACAGTGGCAAAACAAAAATAATGGAAACAGACCCAGGAATCAAGGGCACCGACCACAGCAGCAGACACACCAAAATAGAGGACCATGAGAACCTCCAGGTGTCTGCTGGGGGTGCCATCAATCAGGACATACAAGAAGGAATTGTCCTAATTGGCAAAGAAATGGCCCCAGCTCGGATGCATAGCAGCAGTCTCAGACACAGGCTCCACAGGTCCCAGTGAACCCGTGGGGAGGACTAAATCAGGGATACTAGGGATGCCCAGGGAATCCTAAAGGGGAGGGTCAGCTAGTGGCAGTAACTATGCAGGCTGATGAAGAACCTATGCTGCAGGTTCAGGTGAATAATAGAGGCACACCAATGATGATAGATACTGGAGCAACTTACTCATGTGTAAGTCCAAATTATGCCTCTCACCTCCACATGTCAGGCAAATATGCAAAGACAGTAGGATTTTCGGGACAAACACAGCTAATACCTATGACAGTTCCAGTAAAACTAGAAGCAGGAGGAAAAGCTACCTGCATACCTATATTAGTATCAGAACAAACTCCAGTTAATCTATTAGGGAGAGATGCACTGTGTAGAGTGGGCATCCAAATTAAATGCACATCAGAGGGACTAATAATAGATCAGGAAGGTGTACGTCCACAGATGATGATGGCTATGGACAGAAAGTCAAATGTATACTGGATAGGGAACATAGAATCACCAGTACAAGAGGTACTAAAGAAGTGTGGAAAATGTATCAGGGCTCAGGTTCCAGAAATGAAGTTAGGCTATCATTGTACACTGCAATATGACCCATATCAAAATCAGTTGCTGGAACGACTATGGTTGAGGAAGGCATGGGGTAAACCGACCTCCATGAGATCGCAATATTTTATAATAGGGAAACAAGGGGCAGCAATGGAAGCACAAGATGCTCCAGGGTCTGATATCATACAGACCTGGTTTGATATACCAGGAACAGAACCTCACATAACACTTTTAGCGGCTGAGGGATATCAGGCAAAAGACCTAGGACCAATGATGAAGAAGGCTAAAAATATACAGTGGGTAAAAACAGAGAATCCATTAATTTTCCAGTCTGTTGACAAAAACCTCATTAAAGTCATATGCTTTGCATAGCTCATGGGGGAACCTCAGGAAGTGGAAATAACTGAGGAAAGACAGATGCCAGTAGTTGAAGAAGAAACAAAACAAGAAAATCTAAGGAAACAAATGGAAAGTATGATACAGATGTGGGTTTGGTAAAATCAGCTAATCCAGTCTGCATTAAAGTAAAGGCAGACACAAGACCCCCATGGAAACAGCAATACCCAATGAAACCTGAAGCAGAGGCAGGAATTCAGTCTACAATAGAGGGACTGATAGAAGCAGGAGTACTGGTTAAAACCCAGAGTGACTGTAACACGCCACTGCTACCAGTACTAAAAGCAGACAAACAGAAGTGGAGACTGGTCCATGACCTGAGAGCAGTGAATGAAGTAGTTCAAGACTACCAAGCAGAGGTACCCAATCCACACACACTGTTCACAAACGTTCCACCAGATGCAAAATGGTTCTCAGTGATAGACTTATGTGGTGCATTTTTTAGATTCAGTAGCACAAGGGCATCCACCATGTTACCAGGGATTGGCAGCTGTACAGTATGCATATGACAAAGCATCCACGATCACAATGGGATACCCAGTGGTGATCTATGCTCATCATAAAATAACTGAGTTGATTGAGCAAGGAACATTTGTACTGACCAATGCCAGAATATTGGAGCGTTTGACACTATTGACCTATCCAGATGTAACCATAAAACGATGTACTACAGTTATCCCAGCAGAAAGGATGCCAATAGAAACTGAAGGCGAAACACATGACTGTGTAGCAGAGTCCTTGGCGTTCACTAAATTGAGACCTGATTTGTTGTCAATTCCAATACTGGGAGCTACAGAGGAATTGTTTGTAGATGGGTCTTGCTTTAGAGCTGGTTATGCAGTAGTAAGGAAAGGACCAGACGACCAATTCTACACCATAGAGAGTGAAAGTTGTGACCAACCATGTTCTGCTCAACTAGCAGAGCTAAGAGCATTTACGGCAGCATGTAACCTAGGAAGGGATAAAGCAGTAAATATTTACACTGATTCAGCATATGCGCATGGAGTATGCCACCTGTTTGGAGCAGTCTGGAAACAGAGGGTTTAGGAAAACAGATGGAAGCCCAATTTTGAATTTTGAACAAACACAACAACTAATGATTGCATTAATGAGGCCAAAACAGATAGCAGTTGTTAAATGCCAGGCACACAAGAAGGGAAAGGAATATGTTACCAAAGAAAACAACGCAGCAGATGAAGCGGCAATACTAGCATCTAAATGCAAAGTAGCCATACAGGCTCCACTGATTTTGATAGAAGCAGCCCCAGAAATAGATGATATAATAAGAATGCAGGACAGAGCCAACATAAATGAGCATACTATGTGGGAATAAAGAGGTGCAACAAAGGACAGGAATGGATTGTGGAGAACACAGGATGGACTAATAGTGGCTCCTATAATGCTTTTGAACTTACTCATTACCAGTGCACATGATTGATGATTGTGGACTACAGGAAAAAAAAGAGGACTGAGCATGCCCCCATTCTCATCGACGGGGCTGTAGTGGAACAGGTTGAGTGCTTCAAGTTCCTTGGTGTCCACATCACCAACGAACTATCATGGTCCAAACACACCAAGACAGTCGTGAAGAGGGCACGACAAAGCCTATTCCCCCTAAGGAGACTGAAAAGATTTGGCATGGGTCCTCAGATCCTCAAAAAGTTCTACAGCTGCACCATCGAGAGCATCCTGACTGGTTGCATCACCGCCTGGTATGGCAACTGCTCGGCCTCCGACCGCAAGGCACTACAGAGGGTAGTGCGTACGGCCCAGTACATCACTGGGGCCAAGCTTCCTGCCATCCAGGACCTCTATACCAGGCGGTGTCAGAGGAAGGCCCTCAAAATTATGAAAGAATCCAGCCACCCTAGTCATAGACTGTTCTCTCTGCTACCGCATGGCAAGCGGTACCGGAGCGCCAAGTCTAGGTCCAAAAGGCTTCTCAACAGCTTCTACCCCCAAGCCATAAGACTCCTGAACAGCTAATCATGGCTCCCCGGACTATTTGCACTGCCCCCCCACCCCCAACCCATCTTTTTACGCTGCTGCTACTCTGTTAATTATTTATGCATAGTCACTTTAACTCTACCCACATGTACATATTACCTCAACTACCTCAACTAGCCGGTACCCCCGCACATTGACTCTGCACCGGTAACCCCCTGTATATAGCCTCCCTACTGTTATTTTATTTTACTTCTGCTCTTTTTTTCTCAACACTTTTTTGTTGTTGTTGTTTACATTACTTTTTTATTTAATAAATAAATGCATTGTTGGTGAAGGGCTGTAAGTAAGCATTTCACGGTAATGTCTACACCTGTTGTATTCGGCGCATGTGGCAAATAACATTTGATTTGATTTGGTTTCGATCATTGTGCAAGAGGGGAGGTAATAAGGAAAATTAGAAAACAAGGTTTCTGGTCTCCATATATGCAAGCAAGAGTAGATACAGTGAGGGAAAAAAGTATTTGATCCCCTGCTGATTTTGCACGTTTGCCCACTGACAAAGAAATGATCAGTCTATAATTTTAATGGTAGGTTTATTTGAACAGTGAGAGACAGAATAACAACAAAATAATCCAGAAAAACGCATGTCAAAAATGTTATGAATTGATTTGCATTTTAATGAGGGAAATAAGTATTTGACCCCCAGGTGTCTTTTATACAGGTAACGAGCTGAGATTAGGAGCATACTCTTAAAGGGAGTGCTCCTAATCTCAATTTGTTACCTATATAAAAGACACCTGTCCACAGAAGCAATCAATCAATCAGATTCCAAACTCTCCACCATGGCCAAGACCAAAGAGCTCTCCAAGGATGTCAGGGACAAGATTGTAGACCTACACAAGGCTGGAATGGGCTACAAGACCATCTCAAGGCAGCTGGGACCATAGTCACGAAGAAAACAATTGGCAACACACTACGCCGTGAAGGACTGAAATCCTGCAGCGCCCACAAGGTCCCCCTGCTCAAGAAAGCACATATACAGGCCCGTCTGAAGTTTGCCAATGAACATCTGAATGATTCAGAGGAGAACTGGGTGAAAGTGTTGTGGTCAGATGAGACCAAAATCGAGCTCTTTGGCATCAACTCAACTCGCCGTGTTTGGAGGAGGAGGAATGCTGCCTATGACCCCAAGAACACCATCCCCACCGTCAAACATGGAGGTGGAAACATTATGCTTTGGGGGTGTTTTTCTGCTAAGGGGACAGGACAACTTCACTGCATCAAAGGGACAATGGACGGGGCCATGTACCGTCAAATCTTGGGTGAGAACCTCCTTCCCTCAGCCAGGGCATTGAAAATGGGTCGTGAATGGGTATTCCAGCATGACAATGATCCAAAACACATGGTCAAGGCAACAAAGGAGTGGCTCAAAAATAAGCACATTAAGGTCCTGGAGTGGCCTAGCCAGTCTCCAGACCTTAATCCCATAGAAAATCTGTGGAGGGAGCTGAAGGTTCGAGTTGCCAAACTTCAGCCTCATAACCTTAATGACTTGGAGAAGATCTGCAAAGAGGAGTGGAACAAAATCCCTCCTGAGATGTGTCTTTTATACAGGTAACGGGCTGAGATTAGGAGCACTCTCTTAAAGGGAGTGCTCCTAATCTCAATTTGTTACCTATATAAAAGACACCTGTCCACAGAAGCAATCAATCAATCAGATTCCAAACTCTCCACCATGGCCAAGACCAAAGAGCTCTCCAAGGATGTCAGGGACAAGATTGTAGACCTACACAAGGCTGGAATGGGCTACAAGACCATCGCCAAGCAGCTTGGTGAGAAGATGACAACAGTTGGCGCGATTATTCGCAAATGGAAGAAACATAAAATAACTGTCAATCTCCCTCTGCCTGGGGCTTCATGCAAGATCTCACCTCGTGGAGTTGCAATGATCATGAGAACGGTGAGGAATCAGCCCAGAACTACACGGAAGGATCTTGTCAATGATCTCAAGGCAGCTGGGACCATAGTCACCAAGAAAACAATTGGTAACACACTACGCCGTGAAGGACTGAAATCCTGCAGCGCCCGCAAGGTCCCCCTGCTCAAGAAAGCACATATACAGGCCCGTCTGATGTTTGCCAATTAACATCTGAATGATTCAGAGGAGAACTGGGTGAAAGTGTTGTGGTCAGATGAGACCAAAATCGAGCTCTTTGGCATCAACTCAACTCGCCGTGTTTGGAGGAGGAGGAATGCTGCCTATGACCCCAAGAACACCATCCCCACCGTCAAACATGGAGGTGGAAACATTATGCTTTGGGGGTGTTTTTCAACTTCACTGCATCAAAGGGACGATGGACGGGGCCATGTACCGTCAAATCTTGGGTGAGAACCTCCTTCCCTCAGCCAGGGCATTGAAAATGGGTCGTGGATGGGTATTCCAGCATGACAATGACCCAAAACACACGGTCAAGGCAACAAAGGAGTGGCTCAAAAATAAGCACATTAAGGTCCTGGAGTGGCCTAGCCAGTCTCCAGACCTTAATCCCATAGAAAATCTGTGGAGGGAGCTGAAGGTTCGATTTGCCAAACTTCAGCCTCGAAACCTTAATGAATGGAGAAGATCTGCAAAGAGGAGTGGAACAAAATCCCTCCTCAGATGTGTGCAAACCTGGTGGCCAACTACAAGAAAAGTCTGACCTCTGTGATTGCCAACAAGGGTTTTGCCACCAAGTACTAAATCATGTTTTGCAGAGGGGTCAAATACTTATTTCCCTCATTAAAATGCAAATCAATTCATAACATTTTGTTATTCTGTCTCTCACTGTTCAAATAAACCTACCATTAAAATTATAGACTCATCATGTCTTTGTCAATGGGCAAACGTACAAAATCAGCAGGGGATCAAATACTTTTTTCCCTCACTGTACAAGATTAACAGAATGTGAAACGTGCACAAAAGAATATCGTAAAAGGAATAACGGCACCAATTGGACATATTCCAGTACCAGAGGGACCCTTTAGACACCTAGTAATAGACTATGTGGATATGATAAAACCAGTGAATGGGAAAAGGTATATATGTTGGTAGCAATTCACAGATTTAGCAGATGGGTAGAAGCAGTTCCATCTAAAACTCTAGGGGCAGCACCAGTAATAAAATTCTTAACAAGAGAAGCGATGCCACAATTTGGGATTCCGACAGTAATCAGTTCAGACAATGGTTCAGCATTTATACATAACATGGCAAAACTAGTGATGCAGCAGTTGCGCATAAAGCAAAGATGAGGATGTGTTTACCATCCCCAATCGCAGGGTATGGTGGAAAGAGTAAACGGTTCTCTGAAAGCGAAAATTGCAAAGATCTGTGAGAGTACGAGATTGAATTTGGTAGATGCCTTACCTCTGGCACTAATGAGCTATCGCATGCAAGCTAACAGAATAACGCATCTAACACCGCATGAAATGCTTACGGGACCATATGAGGGTCCACCTCTAGAACAGTTGGAAAGGGAATTAGAAGAGTATATCAGGCAACTAACTGTTATACATTAAGTTATATACCAACAGGAGAGAAGCAGAGTTCCAGAACCAGAGGTGAATCCACCACGACAGTGGTCCCGGGGGAGAAGGTCTACGTCAGGGTCTTCAGAAGGAAGTGGAACAAACAGAGACGTAAGGGACCCTACACCGTCACCCAGGCTACACCAACTGCCATAAGGGTCGAGGGGAGCTTGACCTGGTATCATCTAAACCACTGCACCCGAGTACCGCATGGAAACCGACGACCGAGAGATGAGGAGGCTGAGGCTGCCGAAATACCCAGTAGGGACGGAGAGGAAACAGAAACAGAAGAAGAGGAAGATGGCCCGCTACTGCGTAGCATTGTTTTATTTTCTGCCTGTCTGTGTCTATGTGTCTTTGCAGCAGTGACTCTCAGCTTCCCTATTGGTACGCTGCCAGAAGGACACACTCCACAGACCGATGTTGATAAATTGAGAAAGACTCTGCCTGAGCCCGAGACCCTAGTGACGGAAGAAGGTCCCGAGCCAAAGGGACCCAACGCCGGCCCGGAGTAGAGGCCCAGAAGTAGATGTCATCGTCGGAAGAGAGCCCTGCTTGTCCCTCACAACAACAAAGGACAATTTGATCTAGAGCAGAAATGGTTGCTAATCTTACATCTTGACAAAAAGAGTGTTGGGTGTGTGGATTGGGGCCGGTTAAGGTAGGAGCAGGTTTACCGCTTGTGGGAGTTCCCATAGATGTAAATCTAAATATGTAAATAAACGTACCATTCTTAGTAGAGATACCATGTAACCCTGACCCCATGACGTTCTCTGTATTACACAACCACACAGGCCCACCTTCGTTTGCTAGGCAAGATAATACCGGGTTTGGAGGGTGGATCATGCAACTGTGTCTGACCGTTGTTTTAGTCATTGTATTGATTTTGCTGCTCATCCTCATGTTAAAATTTTGCTGCAATATGTGTTTAAAACTGGTAACAAATGTAATGTTGCCATGACCCAGGGCCAGAATGCAGGTTGCGAATGATTAACTGAGCTACCCTTTACTGCTGAAGACTGTGATGTTTGAAAATATATATTTAAAGCAAGGATGTTAGTCACTACATATCTCTATATTCATATATTAGTCACTATGTACAGTTGAAGTTGGAAGTTTACATACACCTTAGCCAAATACATTTAAACTCAGTTTTTCACAATTCCTGACATTTTGTCCTAGTAAAATTTCCCTGTCTTAGGTCAGTTAGGATCACCACTTTATTTTAAGATTATGAAATGTCAGAATAATAGTAGAGAGAATTATTTCTTTCAGCTTTTATTTCTTTCAACACATTCCCAGTGGGTCAGAAGTTTACATACACTCAAATTAGTAATTGGTAGAATTGCCTTTAAATTGTTTAACTTGTGTCTAACATTACGGGTAGCCTTCCACAAGCTTCCCACCATAAGTTGGGTGAATTTTGGCCCATTCCTCCTGATAGAGCTGGTGTAACTGAGTCAGGTTTGTAGGCCTCCTTGCTCGCACACGCTTTTTCAGTTCTGCCCACACATTTTCTATAGGATTGAGGTCAGGGCTTTGTGATGGCCACTCCAATACCTTGACTTTGTTGTCCTTAAGCCATTTTGCCACAACTTTGGAAGTATGCTTGGGGTCATTGTCCATTTGGAAGACCCATTTGCGACCAAGCTTTATCTTCCTGACTGATGTCTTGAGATGTTGCTTCAATATATCCACATAATTTTCCTTCCTCATGATGCCATCTATTTTGTGAAGTGCACCAGTCCCTCCTGCAGCAAAGCACCCCCACAGCATGATGCTGCCACCCCTGTGCTTCACGGTTGGGAGGGTGTTCTTCGGCTTGCAATCCTTCAATTTTTTCTTCCAAACATAACGATGGTCATTATGGCCAAACAGATCTATTTTTGTTTAATCAGACTAGAGGACATTTCTCCAAAAAGTACGATCTTTGTCCCCATGTGCAGTTGCAAACCGTAGTCTGGCTTTTTTATGGCGGTTTTGGAGCAGTGGCTTCTTCCTTGCTGAGCGGCCTTTCAGGTTATGTCGATATAGGACTCATTTTACTGTGTATATAGATACTTTTGTACCTGTTTCCTCCAGCATCTTCACAAGGTCCTTTGCTGTTGTTCTGGGATTGATTTGCACTTTTCGCACCAAAGTACATTAATCTCTGGGAGACAGAACGCGTCTCCTTCCTGAGCGGTATGACGGCTGTGTGGTCCCAGGGTGTTTATACTTGTGTACTATTGTTTGTACAGATGAACGTGGTACCTTCAGGCATTTGGAAATTGCTCCCAAGGATGAACCAGACTTGTGGAGGTCTACAATTGTTTTTCAGTGGTCTTGGCTGATTTCTTTTGATTTTCCCATGATGTCAAGCAAAGAGGCACTGAGTTTGAAGGTAGGCTTTGAAATACATCCACAGGTACACCTCCAATTGACTCAAATTATGTCAATTAGCCTATCAGAAGCTTCTAAAGCCATCACATAATTTTCTGGAATTTTCCAAGCTGTTTAAAGGCACAGTCAACTTAGTGTATGTAAACTTCTGACCCACTGGAATTGTGTTACAGTGAATTATAAGTGAAAGAATCTGTCTGTAAACAATTGTTGGAAAAATTACTTATGTCATGCACAAAGTAGATGTCCTAACCGACTTGCCAAAACTATAGTTTGTTAACAAGACATTTGTGGAGTTATTGAAAAACGAGTTTTAATGACTCCAACCTAAGTATATGTAAACTTCAAACTTCAACTGTACATTTGTAGTGTTTGTGTGGGACCTATAAAGTCATAAAGGGGAGACTTTATAACTACACTGTCTCACTTAAGGGCAGACAACATAACAAACAAATTATATGAATGTTGTAGAATGAAACACCTATATGCCTATGGATTAAGAATGTTAAAAATGAGCAATTACATGAGCAATTAGGGTTAAGTGCCTTGCTCAAGGGCACATTGACAGATTTTTTACCTAGTTGGCTTGGGGATTAGAACCAGCGACCTTTCGGTTACTGGCACAACGCTCGTAACCACTAAGCTACCTGCCGCCCCAATAAATCAATGAAAGGGTTAAAACAGAGCCATGATGAAATGGCTCTACAGGTATTTTTCCATAACATATATTATAATATGCTTAACATCAGTAGAGACATTTCTTTAGTGCAAATGCTGTGATTCTGAGAAAGGATGGTTCCCTCTAGCTCCCTGCAGCTGGTCTGGCGTGTAGTCAAGGACATGGGATGGAGATAAACTTTAGGAACAGATAGACCTGTATTGTTTACATTTCTTGTTGCTTCTGAGTAACCTGGTGACACGGTCAAGACAAAGAGCCTCAGAGTGACCACAGTTTTTCAGTTCATCCTGTCTTTTACTATCTTCCAAGGGCACAGCTGTGTGGAGATATGAGTAGTAACGTAACTAAAGTTATCACTTGTTTGTGCGCTATGACCCGATACACATAGCCACAAGAAGATAACCATAGTGGCTCCAGGTCAAGGGAGGGGGGCTGTTTGGATAAAGAGGGGGTTCCGATATGATATGAAAAGAAGGCCAAGCAGACATGGGGATAGACAGGAAAGAAGCTAGACAAAGAAACCATAGTGGCTCAGATATGATATGAAAAGATGAAGCTGTATAAAAAGAGAGCTCCAAGTCTGGGACGGCAGTTGCTCTGCAGACCAGCTCGGCTCTATTGCTTGTGTAAAAAAAGTCTATCTTGATTCTACAAAAACTCTGAAAGTACTTTGTTTGTTTTCATAATTTTCTACAACATTATGGCTGAAGATGTGCTTAACAAGTCACATAATAAGTTGCATGGACTCACTGTGTGAAATAATAGTGTTTAACATGATTTTTGAATGACTACCTCATCTCTGTACCCCACACATACAATTATCTGTAAGGTCCCTCAGTCGAGCAGTAAATTTAACTGAACTAAATGACTATCGCCCCGTAGCACTTACTTCTGTCATCATGAAGTGCTTTGAGAGGCTAGTTAAGGATCATATCACCTCCACCTTATCTGACACCCTAGACCCACTTCAATTTGCATACCGCCCCAATAGATCCACAGACAATGCAATCGCCATCGCACTGCACACTGCCCTATCCCATCTGGACAAGAGGAATATGTAAATGTTGTTCATTTACTGTACCACAGCCTTCAACACCATAGTACCCTCCCAGCTCATCATCAAGCTTGGGGCCCTGGGTCTGAACCCCGATTTGTGCAACTGGGTCCTGGACTTCCTGACGGTGAAGGTAGGAAACAACACCTGCACTACACTGATCCTCAACACAGGGGCCCCACAAGGGTGCGTGCTCAGCCCCCTCCTGTACTGCCTGTTCACCCATGACTGCGTGGCCACGCACGCCTCCAACTCAATCATCAAGTTTGCAGACGACACAACAGTAGTAGGCCTGATTACCAACAATGATGAGACAGCCTACAGGGAGGAGGTGAGGGCCGTGGCGTAGTGGTGCCAGGAAAATAACCTCTCCCTCAACGTCAACAAAGCGAAGGAGCTGATCGTGGATTTCAGGAGACAGCACACCCCTATCCACATTGACGGGACCGCAGTGGAGAAGGTGAGGCTTCAAGTTCCTCTGAGTACACATCACTGACAATCTGAAGTGGTCCACCCACACAGACAGTGGCACCCACGGAGATGTCGGCCTCGCGACTAGCTCTTAGGAAACTTTGCGGATTTTATTATAGATATTCAAACAGCTTTTATCCAATCAATTCCGCTCCATTTAATTTATTCAGGGATTTTGTTAATTTTATTTTCTTACTGCAAGGGTGAACACCCCAGAGCATTGCTTCAAGCAAGCACACGGCAATGACAAACATTCCATTCACCATCTTGACTGCAGCCAGAACAGGCATATGTGGGTAGGTATAACTTTGTTGACACTGATGATAGCTTAGAAGATGCTGTTACATTGTACTTTACTAGCTGCATTAAATATAGGTAAACATCACTTATCATCACTTATCATTTTGAGTCAGACAATTCCTGTACACCACTTACTGTATACCAACAATTTTGTCTTATTTTGAGTGCAGACCTTTGACATTATATTGCAACAAAGCTCCTTGCTACCGCGTCATGAGTTAGGGCAGCCATTCTGCATGGGGACAGTAATAATTCGGCAAGTGGTATGGAGGTAGGTTACTGCCAAAACACGTACCCAGGAAGCGGAAGGTCCTGCGCACCAGAGGATTGAGGTAACAGCAGTCTCCCATGACGATGATCTTCTCCCTGTTGTCCAGGTCCTCCGACACATACTGGAGCAGAAACAACACAGACTCTATGGCTGTGATCTAATGTACAGAGGGAGAGAGAGAGAGACTTTAATCACTGATAACAGGATCTGAATATTGTGATGTTTTTTAGCAAAAAATGCTACCATGGTCCCCGATAAACCATGGTCCCTGTAGCAATGCCTTTGTGCCACATTTAACCAAATGTCGTATTGACGGCATGCATTAAGACCTATTCTGTTTTCTGTCTGCAACCAAGCATAGAGTACAACAGATAGACCTAAGGCGGAAGAATACTGCACCAATGAACAATTAAATTGATTTGGGCTCTGATTCGGTTCAGCTATAATGCCAGTGTTCCACTACAGCTGTTGGCCTTGATTGGCCCATTTAGCTCAATTGCCAAAGTTCAATGAGGTGAAACATTGATAAGCGCCTTTAGGTAAAGACACTGTGCAGACGCCCAGAATAATGTCTGCAATCATTTCCTGAAACAGTCAACTAAACATAGGCGTTTTGTGGTGGTAGAGTGTTAATCTTTTGTGTGTGACAAGGTACAGTGAGGGAAAAAAGTATTTGATCCCCTGCTGATTTTGTACGTTTGTCCACTGACAAAGAAATTATCAGTCTATAATTTTAATGGTAGGTTTATTTGAACAGTGAGAGACAGAATAACAACAAAAACATCCAGAAAAATGCATGTCAAAAATGTTATAAATTGATTTGCATTTTAATTAGGGAAATAAGTATTTGACCCCCTCTCAATCAGAAAGATTTCTGGATCCCAGGTGTCTTTTATACAGGTAACGAGCTGAGATTAGGAGCACACTCTTAAAGGGAGTGCTCCTAATCTCAGCTTGTAACCTGTATAAAAGACACCTGTCCACAGAGGCAATCAATCAATCAGATTCCAAACTCTCCACCATGGCCAAGACCAAAGAGCTCTCCAAGGATGTCAGGGACAAGATTGTAGACCTACACAAGGCTGGAATGGGCTACAAGACCATCGCCAAGCAGCTTGGTGAGAAGGTGACAACAGTTGGTGCAATTAGTTGCATATGGAAGAAACACAAAATAACTGTAAATCTCCCTCGGCCTGGGGCGCCATGCAAGATCTCACCTCGTGGAGTTGTAATGATCATGAGAACGGTGAGGAATCAGCCCAGAACTACACGGGAGGATCTTGTCAATGATCTCAAGGCAGCTGGGACCATAGTCACCAAGAAAACAATTGGTAACACACTACGCCGTGAAGGACTGAAATCCTGCAGCGCCCGCAAGGTTCCCCTGCTCAAGAAAGCACATATACAGGCCCGTCTGAAGTTTGCCAATGAACATCTGAATGATTCAGAGGAGAACTGGGTGAAAGTGTTGTGGTCAGATGAGACCAAAATCGAGCTCTTTGGCATCAACTCAACTCGCGTGTTTGGAGGAGGAGGAATGCTGCCTATGACCCCAAGAACACCATCCCCACCGTCAAACATGGAGGTGGAAACATTATGCTTTGGGGGTGTTTTTCTGCTAAGGGGACAGGACAACTTCACCGCATCAAAGGGACGATGGAAGGGGCCATGTACCTCCTTCCCTCAGCCAGGTCATTGAAAATGGGTTGTGGATGAGTATTCCAGCATGACAATGACCCAAAACACATGGCCAAGGCAGGAGTGGCTCAAGAAGAAGCACATTAAGGTCCTGGAGTGGCCTAGCCAGTCTCCAGACCTTAATCCCATAGAAAATCTGTGGAGGGAGCTGAAGGTTCGAGTTGCCAAACGTCAGCCTCGAAACCTTAATGACTTGGAGAAGATCTGCAAAGAGGAGTGGGACAAAATACCTCCTGAGATGTGTGCAAACCTGGTGGCCAACTACAAGAAACATCTGACCTCTGTGATTTCCAACAAGGGTTTTGCCACCAAGTACTAAGTCATGTTTTGCAGAGGGGTCAAATACTTATTTCCCTCATTAAAATGCAAATCAATTTATAACATTTTTGACATGCATTTTTCTGGATTTTTGTTGTTGTTATTCTGTCTCTCACTGTTCAAATAAACCTACCTTTAAATTATAGACTGATCATGTCTTTGTCAGTGGGCAAACGTACAAAATCAGCAGGGGATCAAATACTTTTTTCCCTCACTGTAGGTTGGCAATCATGACAAATTGGTGAGACAGGGCATCAGCTCTAGACTGCAGGTTTACCTTTCCCAACACCTAGACCAGCGCATCAGGGATACTGTGTTTTATCCACACAGTATACAGCTATGGGTTCAGAGCTGTTTCTGACTTCAGTGAGATTATATTCCACTGTCTCCCTAGTGTCCCTAGACTCTAGCTGCTGTCCTTACCAGACCTAATGAGTGTGGTCCAATCAAGAACAGAATCATGATGGAATCACACCAGAAAAGTACGCCAACTGGGCCTATGCCTTGTAAGTACTTAGATTTTCAGCACTTTGTAAGCTGTTAACTTTCATTTTACAAGTCATAATGGCACCGTTCTGAAGCGCTCAAAAATCGGACAGAAATCCAGTAATAACATATGTTCCTTCCTGTTTCCATCTGGAATAAAGCCAGATTTTAATTATTTAATCTCTGAATTTGAGTGTGCCACCCTAACTGTGCCACTTTCAATTATTCTTGTTATAGAACTTTTCCATAGGTAAATATCAAAGGTTTGACAAGTTCATGCAATCAATTGTGCATAATTGTTGCGGGTTGCAGGTGATGTTGGACGGAGTCAGACGCAGGAGGGTAAATCACGGAATAAATGGTTTAATCAATAAACAGTGCGGACAAACACACTGGGGATGACAAGGCACACGGGTGAAATAACCCGGCGATACACAATATAATCAAGCTCCACCGAGCTATAATCTCCTCTACAATAACCAATCACACACAAAGACAAGGAGGCAGAGGGAACATATATACAGGTACTGATGAGGGGATATGAACCAGGTGTGTGTAATAAACAAGACAAAACAAATGGAATGAACATATGAGGAGCGGCAGTGGCTAGAAGGCCGGTGACGATGAACGCCGAAGCCTGGCCGAACAAGGAGAGGAGGCAGCTTCTGTCAAGACTTCCTCCGAAGCTGCCTCCCCTCCTTGTTCGGGCAGGCTTCGGAGTTCGTCGTAACCGCCTTCTAGCCACAACCGCTCCATTTCTCATCATTCCATTTGTCTTGTCTTGTCAATTACACACACCTGGTTCATATTCCCCTCATTAGTATGTGTTTAAGTGTTCCCTCTGCCCCCTTGTCCTTGTGGGTGATTGTTTCATGTGAGATTAGTGTAGCTCGGTGGAGCTACCTGTACTTTGTATTGCCGGGGTATATTTTTCCCGTATGCCTGTATTTGTTCCAGTGCACCTGTTTTGTGCACTGGACTGTTGACGCAATCCAGCGTAACTGTGTACTACGGAATGAACTCTGTATTCTGTGATTTACCCTCCTGTGCCTGACTCCTTCAAATCACACTCTCACAGCTTCGGAAGAAGTCGTGACAATAATACTGTATTAGCAATCCTGCCTTCTTCAAAGAAGTTGCTACTTCTACCTTCACTCTTCCCCTCTGGTCTAAGGGTCATCTTCAATGCATCTACTTATAAATAAATGTAACATTATCTCTTTGATCAAATATGTATAATATATAGTGCCTTCAGAAAGTATTCACATCCCTTGACTTTTTTCACATTTTGTTGTTACATCCTGAATTTAAAATTGATTAAATTTAGATTTTGTGTCACTGGCCTACACACAATACCCCATAATTTCAAAGTGGAATAATAATACAAAATTAAAAATATTAAAAAATGAAAAGCTGAAATGTCTTGAGTCAAAAAGTATTCAAACCCTTTGTTATAGCAAGCCTAAATATGTTCAGGAGTAAAAATGTGACATAAGTTGCATGGACTCACTCTGTGTGCAATAATAGTGTTTAACATGATAATTGAATAACTACCTCATCTCTGTACCCAACACATACAATTATCTGTAAGGTTCCTCAGTCGAGTAGTGAATTTCAAACACAGATTCAACCACAAAGACCAGAGAGGTTTTCCAATGAGAGAAGGGCACCTATTTGTAGATAAACATATATATTTTTTAAAGCAGACATTGAATATCCCTTTGAGCATGAAGTTATTAATTACACTTTGGCTGGTGTATCAATACACCCAGTCACTACAAAGATACAGGCGTCCTTCCTGACTCAGTTGCCGGAGAGGAAGAAAACCATTCAGAGATTTCACCACGAGGCCAATGGTGACTTTAAAACAGTTACAGAGTTTAATGGCTGTGACGGATCAACAACATTGTAGTAACTTCACAATACTAACCTAATTGACAGAGTGAAAAGTAGGAAGCCTGTACAGAATATAAATATTCCTTTATATGACTGAACAAACCATCCATTTAATATATTTCCACTTTTCTTTTAATGTTGTCTAACAGTCATCATTTAGGCTTTAGAAGCCTAACTGTAAATAAGACATGAGTTTGTCAATCTGCTTAATGACGCATCACTCGTTCTTTACGATAAAACATGCACAAATATTGTTCATATTTCATTAAAACAACATAATTAATGTGTCTCAAACTGCACTTGTGAAGGATAAAAAGGCAGCTCATAGTCATTAATGAAGCTCTGACATGCTCAACACTTTCCACTGTATCTCCGCAAAGCACGGGGACCTAAACCCTATGCAGTTTATTCACATCTCACTGCAAACCCATCACCCTACTACTGCGAACAGGAGCGAGCCAGAGCCTTATTCACTGCTCACTAATAATAGCAATCATGCCATCTTTGGCCCATAAATGTCAAACAGTATAACACTGATGAGTGGGAATGTTCCTCTGGCCGCTTTACAAGGACTTCAGCAGGTTATTATTTTATTCTTGTTCATTTTCCATATATTGACAGCTCCCAGCTATATTTGCAGCCTATCTATTCAATGAAAACTCTCAAATTTATAGTAGGATTCTGTGAAGTTGTTGGTTGCCTTTACATCCTGCTTAGTGTGTGTCCCAAAGCCTTCCCAAATGTGTCCTGTTGATGGGAATGGTCAAGTCTTTTCCGATCTATGGTGTTCAATCATGATTAGGGTTGCAAAATCCCGGCAACTTTCAATAGTTCAGGAGGGAATACTCCAACTGTGATTTTGCGTAAACCAGGGAATTTATTGAAAGTTCCCGGAATTTTGCAAACCTAATCATGATTGACAGGAGACCAGGGGAGGGGAGCTAGTCTAGAGCAGTGATTCTCAACTGGTGAGAGGTTTTAAATGGGTCACAAGTTTAAGATTTCTTAAATAAAAAATACTCCAGTCTGAACTTAAATGACTAAAACCAGGTAGAAAGTAACCTTTGAACTACAGTGGGGAAAAAAAGTATTTAGTCAGCCACCAATTGTGCAAGTTCTCACACTTAAAAAGATGAGAGAGGCCTGTAATTTTCATCATAGGTACACGTCAACTATGACAGACAAATTGAGGGGGAAAAAATCACATTGTAGGATTTTTAATGAATTTATTTGCAAATTATGGTGGAAAATAAGTATTTGGTCACCTACTAACAAGCAAGATTTCTGGCTCTCACAGACCTGTAACTTCTTCTTTAAGAGGCTCCTCTGTCCTCCACTCGTTACCTGTATTAATGGCACCTGTTTGAACTTGTTATCAGTATAAAAGACACCTGTCCACAACCTCAAACAGTCACACTCCAAACTCCACTATGGCCAAGACCAAAGAGCTGTCAAAGGACACCAGAAACAAAATTGTAGACCTGCACCAGGCTGGGAAGACTGAATCTGCAATAGGTAAGCAGCTTGGTTTGAAGAAATCAACTGTGGGAGCAATTATTAGGAAATGGAAGACATACAAGACCACTGATAATCTCCCTCGATCTGGGGCTCCACGCAAGATCTCAACCCGTGGGGTCAAAATGATCACAAGAACGGTGAGCAAAAATCCCAGAACCACACGGGGGGACCTAGTGAATGACCTGCAGAGAGCTGGGACCAAAGTAACAAAGCCTACCATCAGTAACACACTACGCCGCCAGGGACTCAAATCCTGCAGTGCCAGACGTGTCCCCCTGCTTAAGCCAGTACATGTCCAGGCCCGTCTGAAGTTTGCTAGAGTGCATTTGGATGATCCAGAAGAGGATTGGGAGAATGTCATATGGTCAGATGAAACCAAAATATAACTTTTTGGTAAAAACTCAACTCGTCGTGTTTGGAGGACAAAGAATGCTGAGTTGCATCCAAAGAACACCATACCTACTGTGAAGCATGGGGGTGGAAACATCATGCTTTGGGGCTGTTTTTCTGCAAAGGGACCAGGACGACTGATCCGTGTAAAGGAAAGAATGAATGGGGCCATGTATCGTGAGATTTTGAGTGAAAACCTCCTACCATCAGCAAGGGCATTGAAGATGAAACGTGGCTGGGTCTTTCAGTATGACAATGATCCCAAACACACCGCCCGGGCAACGAAGGAGTGGCTTCGTAAGAAGCATTTCAAGGTCCTGGAGTGGCCTAGCCAGTCTCCAGATCTCAACCCCATAGAAAATCTTTGGAGGGAGTTGAAAGTCCGTGTTGCCCAGCGACAGCCCCAAAACATCACTGCTCTAGAGGAGATCTGCATGGAGGAATGGGCCAAAATACCAGCAACAGTGTGTGAAACCTTGTGAAGACTTACAGAAAACGTTTGACCTGTGTCATTGCCAACAAAGGGTATATAACAAAGTATTGAAAAACTTTTGTTATTGACCAAATACTTATTTTCCACCATAATTTGCAAATAAATTCATAAAAATCCTACAATGTGATTTTCTGGATTTTTTTTCCTCATTTTGTCTGTCATAGTTGACGTGTACCTATGATGAAAATTACAGGCCTCTCTCATCTTTTTAAGTGGGAGAACGTGCACAATTGGTGGCTGACTAAATACTTTTTTCAATCAACAGTATTTTCAATATAGAGTTATTAGCAGCGCTATTTAGCGTATTTGGTTGATTTTGTCTCATACCAGTGAGCTTAACATTCTTCATCAAGAATATAGGCTAAATGAAATGATTGACAATGAATATGTTGGGACTGTTGTTCCCTTGTCATATAATTGGTACATGTACTATCAATATAGCATTAAAAATAGTTTTACACATTACATTTTGGCAACAACAAAAACATTGCGATGTTTATATTGGATTGCGACTGAGACAACCTGGTTCAATTTGGGTCCCGAAGCAAAACCAGTTCAGAACCACTGGTCTAGTATTGACACCAAACCCATACCTGTGGCTTTGTCACAAATGACACCTCATTCCCATATGGGGCACAACTTTGGGTGGAATTTGATACTTGCACTGTATGTCTCTCAT